AAAAGAAAAACCAAACACCCCCCACCCCCAAAACCCCAAAACAGAACTGAAGGGAAGAGAAAAGGAAAAGGAAGCACATACGCAAGATTTTTCTTCTCGGCCTCAGTATCAGTGGTACCCTCCTCCCTCCTCAGTAATTCCCCCTCATCATCCCCCTCATCATCCTCATCATCATCCCCTCCAGCACCACCACCACCACCACCAGGACCCCCAGAACCCTCCCCCCCAGCACCACCTCTCACCGACGCCCCGTCCGCATCCACAGAGCCCAACCGATCCATCATTCCACCGGCCCGTAGATTCCCCTCCTCACGCAGCAATTCCCGCTCCTTCTCAGCCTTGCTCTTCCGGCCGCGCTTCTTGCCTTTCGTGAGGAACACGCCGTCGGCGCTGGTGCCGCCGAGACTGCCCGTGAAGCTGCCGGTCACGCTGCCGGCGTCGCTGTAGGCGCGCGACGACGAGTCCAGGTCCATCGTGTTGGGGAACGAGGTCTGCCGGAGCGGGTGCATGCGCGGTCGCTTGGGGTTGTAATGGGAGGAGGTCGAGGAGGAGGCCCCCCCCGCTGGCTGCGAGGTGGTCGATGAGATCGAGGGCCGTTTCAGTGGGTTGGTGGGTGGTGGGGAGGACATTGTGACTTTCTTTGTTTGTCTGTTCGTTCGTTCGTTGGTTGAATGGATGTAGTAGTGGCTTTGTTGGTAAGAGTGCTAGGTGGTAAAACCGCAAAAAAAAAAAAGAAAAGGGTTCGTTGCGTCGTTCGTGCGTGTTTCTTATGTTCGTGGTGAGTGAGTAAGAGAAAGTAGGATGGGTAGGTAGGCTACGGTCGCAGATGCACCGAAACTGTTGAAATCAAAGCCCACAAAGATCAACTGGAGGGGAATGGTAGCAGTCAGAATTGATGAGTAATAATCATTGAAGGTGTCCAGAACAGCCACATGCAAGAATAGGATGGAGGGAGGAAGTGAAGGTCGAGTGAAAGGGTTAGTTGATTGACTGATGAAAGTGTTTGCGACAGGCAGAACCAACCGACGTACGGAAAGCTGACCTGCCCTTATCGGACGGTCCCGCCCCCATTCGGCAAGTCAACCGACCCATCCTGCGTACGCAATCCTCATCTTTAGGGCCACTGCTTATTTCTACCTCATCTTTACACACGGACTTCGACAATTACTGCTTCATCTACTGCGGGATAATCATTCAAATCAACCAGCATGTTCAAATTGGTAGAGGTAATCTCAAGACCTAACGCACATGTGGCATGCCACAATTCAAAGAACTGGTGCAGAGAGACACAACAAGGTTCAAACCGCTAGAAGCACAAGCAAGCACAAATTACCGACGTGAAATGACCCTGAGATGGATCGGAATGCATGACAAAGCAAGAACTCAATTTCCCGGATCCTCCACCTTTCATCCCTCATGACCTCCACGGACAGACGGGTTCGCTCTCAAACGCGCTCTTCTCCGAGCCTAGGGGCCCCCCCTTTCCAGTCAAGACGTTCGTAGTAGCGGAACACCAAGTCATATCCGTCCAGGTCATGCACAATACGGTCCACCCGCCGGTATCCCTCCACATGCTCCATCTTCGAGGTACGGCGCAGCAACTGGCGCTCAAAGTACTTGGCCTCCTTGATGCTGTCCCACTCGCCCTCAACCACGGGCAGCTCGGGCTTGGCCTCAAACAAGGTCACCGTGAAACGGCCCGGCTTGAAGATGCTCACCACTTGCTGGATGATGCTCGCCGTGGTCTGTCCGTTCTGCGAATGAGGCACGTTGGTCTCAAACGACGCGTACGAGCACTGCGGCTCGGGAGTCACGTGCACCGTGAAGTAGTGAGTGCCAGTGCTCTGATCGGGCGACGGAATCACACCATTGGCCGAGAAGCCGCATGGTGTGAACAAGTAAGCGTCGATGCGGGACTCGGGGAATTTGGCCTTGGGGTAAACATCAGACAGGCCACAGGACTCCGAGACCACAGTACCCAAGGCATGACCCTCGGTGGTCAGCTCCGGGGGCAGAATGCGGCTGCCGTCGGAAGACACATCGTCCATGTCGGAGTTGTTGCTGAACACATCCACAGGGTCGTCGTTGTCAGTCTCGAAGTTGCGGTACCGCTTCTCGGCCACTGCAGTAGCATGGTCCAAGTAGAATTGCTTCGCGTTCTCCTCTTCCAGGTCGGTCATCAGCACCTCCAGAGTCTCATCCTCCGCCTCGACTCCCGGGATGGCGGCATGGCTGGGAACATTGAGGATCTTGGTTTCAGTCACCTCTTCATCCTCCGCCTTGGGACTGGCGGGAGGCGTAAGCATGGTGTTGGGCTCGGTCAGATACAAGTACCAGTGCTCGCCGTTCATCTTGCCAATCATATAGGCGCTGCCGTTCAAGAACAGTCGGTCCATGGTCCGAACCTCATCTCTCCAGCTACGGTGAGGACCGCGCTGGCGGTCGGGAAAGAGGAAGTTCTTGCGACTGTAGAAGACACGGTAGGGCGCCGCGGCAACGGAAATGCCGCGCGAGGGCGCCGTCGCGCGAGGGAAACCGCCGAACAGAGTGGCGACCTCGAGGATACGGGGTAGGCCAGACAACAAGGTGGTGGTGCCGCAGGTCTTGAGGATCAACTTGTGAGGCCAAACAAACATGCTGGACTCGGACAAAAGGTAGGCGTCCACATCCTCGGACGACACAATGGAAAGCACTTGGCAGTTGACAAGATCGAGCATATCCTTCCAAATTTCCTCGGGCACGGCCTTCAGGCCAGCGGGACCAGCGGATCCCAGCTCCTCAGCGGAGGGCGCAAACCAGACCTCCAGGAGTTTCTCGGGTCCTTTTTTAACACATCAGCATCTTGCGCGTGGGGAGAAGTCACACTATGAAGCTGGCTTACCTTCGAAAGCGTTAGTGGAGTCAAGATCCTGGGTCGCTTCATGGTTGATCGTCAGAGACGGCGTCCCCATGAAAGAGGACGGCGACTGGGTGTAGTGCTTGGGGATCCCGATATAAACCATTTTGGCGTATGTGGGGATGCGACAAGAGTAAAGCGGTGACGATGAAGCAAGTAAAGGAGCAAGCGCGTGACTGGAAGTGTGGACCGTAGACAAAAGAGCCTAGGAAGCACTATCTGCTGCCCAGACGAACAGGGGGGCTATGTCCGTCTGAGAGAGTAGGCCCTGAATCGCAAGGGCGAAATTGGCACTCAGCCGAAGAGGGAAGGTTCCAAAGAGCCTCGAAGGCTACTAGGGAGGGCGGAAGGAAAGGGAAAGGAGGAAAAAGCCTCTGGCGAAGGGAATGGTGACTATCTGGGGTCGACCCTCGTTCTGGAAGATTCCGATACCGTTCAAAGTATCGGGTCTAGCAGACGAGAGTATCTGCTTTTAGGAATTAAGAGACGAAGAGGAAAACAGGTTGCGCAAGTGGAACGAGGTTGAATGTTAATCGTGCTATCGAGGTCTAGATAATCACAAGTCAGTCCTGGGCGATTGGTTGGTTACACGGCGGTCTCTTCTGATAAAGAGGAAAGAACCGGAAGCGAAGCAGAGGGGGGGGGGGGGGGATGACGACGACCTACTTTGCGGGCTTGGACAGATATCGCAGTAGATCCTTCGGGTTCATGGAAGGCGAAACAGAAGTTTGGCTTAAAACAGCACGGTGTCGCGAGAAGCCAGAATATCGGACATCTGCGAGACGATTTTTGGAGGGAGAACGATGAAACAGGCGCACGAGAAGAAAAAGAAGATTGAGCAACCGGAATTGACTTTCAATGACCAGTCAACGGTTGACAAAAATCGAAGGTTAAAAGTGACCTCAGCAGAGGGAGGAATGAAGAGAAGGGGGGGAAGAATTTAAACAAAGAGAAAAAGACGCGGACGTGAGGGGGGGCGCAAGAGAAGTTGATGCTTTTGAGTGATTATTATTCTGTGGGCCCGAGAAAAAAGCTGCGTGGGGCGCAGAGACCAATCTGGGTTGGGCTTTTTGGGAACAGCACAGAACCTGGCAAAAAAAAAAGACCGGTCAGACAAAAGGACAAAGATCAAACCGGGAGATGCAGGAAGGCCTTGGGAGGATGAGGGGTAGGATTATATGTAATTGGAGGAAGATGCAGGAACACACACTTGAGCAGTCAGATCGATGAGTTCCAACCGCCTTTGGATTTGTTTGTGAAGATAGAAAGGGTAAGGATGGAGAGAAGTCACACTGCAGTGATTGAGTTGAGTGAGTGGTTTTTTGACGCCTGACCGCAGCAAACTAAGAAAAGAACAGGCCACAGAACAGGGCAGGAGAGGGAAGTTTGCCTGCATCTAGTAGGCGGTCAGTCTGGTATCCCCCGCTCATTTCCCCCTCATGCTTACTTCAGCCTCCCCAAAGTGACGTCGTGATGTCGGGAAAGGGCAGAGAGTCACATGGTACGGAGTAGGCTGCCAGGAATTCAATTAAAGTCTAGAACTATGCGGACTATTCAGGTCCAACTATTCGTCTTACAATTCTTACTTCTTCTCCTAATTATTCACCTGACTCACTCCTCATCCCTTTCTTTTCTTTCCTCCCTCCCTCACTTCATCCATCTTTACGTATACTACCAGAAACAAACTCGTGCATGCGTCATTCTCTTCATTACCGACACCGCTAGATAGCCCGTGCTATGTATGTACCCGATCGAGTTCTTTCACCAAAAAAAAAGAAAAAAAAAAGAAAAGAAAAAGAACCTCACAGAAAAAGGAACACCTACTTCCCCCGCCAGAAAACGCCATGTTTTACCAGAACAAAAACGAAAGGGGGACGAAGAGATTACGGAGCGCAAAAAGAGGGGGGCCTGCTGTAGCTAAAGTAGGTTCACGCGTCGACAATGGCCCGGGCGGTTTCAACCTCCCCCATGTCCTTGATCTTCATTGCAAGGAAATCACCCACTTTCCCACTCAATTTTTCCCGCAGGTCGTCCGTCAATACGCCCCCGTGCCCGTTGGTTAGGGCCGTGCGTCCTTCCCGCAGCGTTGCCAGAACCCCCATCAAAACCATAAGAACTCTCTCAGCCTCCGGTCGCCGTGGGCTGTCTTCGGCCATTCCGTCCTTCAGCAAATTGCCGTACGTCGGCAGATTGGGCAGAATCAGCACCCGCACCGCCTCCGCACCGCCCACCGCGTGAAGTCCAATGATGGCGCCGTAATGCGCGCCAAACGGTTTGGACGGATCCAAAAATGTTTTGAGACACGAGCGAGCCAGTCGTGGCTTGAGCGTGTGGGACGAGTGCGAGTACTTCTTCGCGATCAGTCCCAGGAGTGACGCGGAGAGGTCGCGCAGAGCAAATTGCTCGGTCAGTTCGGCATTGCCGCCCAATTGTCGGGCGATCAAGCAGGTTAGAATGGGCGGAACAAGCGATGGGATCTAGAAAGGATCAGTCAGTCAGAATCCGCGGCTATTTGTTGGGGGTATGCGCACGTAAGGATCAACATATAGCGATTTGTTCTGCACAAGGGCCTCTGCCATGTGCATGACCTGCGTCAGGACAAAGATATCCTTCAACCCATGCGTAACCTTCTCGGAGATAAACTGAACGAAGTATGGGACCAGCTGGTGTAGTCCCGGGTCTTCTCGTAGGCTGGAATAGCCCGATGTCCGATATTCTTCGCTGGATTCGTCCAGGAACGCGTTGCAAACTTTCTCGAAGTAGAGCTGCAATTCCTTGGACAAGACGTGCTTCACCAGCGGTTTGACGGCCACATTTCCTCCTCCGCTCATAGCCGCGAGGGTCGAGCTGGCATTGGGACCTTTCGACATCAATTCAAGGTTCCTCGAGTCGGCCGCGGTAGGGTTCTGGGGAATGGACGGCTGGACTCCTTCAACGGCCAACCAGTGCGCTGTGCTGTGTCAGCAGTCAAAACCTAGGGAGCCGCTGAACTAGCGGGCAGTAATACCTGTGAACGAGATCTCTCGGGGTACTCTAGGCAACGGCGCATTGATCAACTTTTCAAAGTCCACCTCTTCATCCTCCACATAGAACAACGGTTGTCGCGGTCCCAGCGATGCCTCACCAAACCGTAGGGGCCTTGTAGACTCGTAGCCGTAGAGCGGCTCTACGTCGAGCACGCGTAAGGCTTGTGCGATATCCTGGGTTGAGAGCAACGTTCGTCGACTGTGGCGCATGAATTTGAGAGCTTCCTCCAAAACCTGCGCGATGCGGAATTCGACGTCGCGGGCAAGGTTTTCGGTCACATCATCGTTGAGGTTGACGATTCCAACCGACTCGGCAACATCGCGGATGTTGTCTGGGTTCCAGACTGACATTGTGATGGAGACGGTTGGATTGAAGTGAAGCGGAGGGGAGGAGGGTGCGGTAGAGGATGTCGCGGTGGCGCAGGGTTGATCCGAGACTGAGAATTTGCGAGGTGTTATCTGAGGGAGAGAGGCAATCAATCAAATACTAATGAAGCGACCGCGGGGCTAGATAGTCAAATGGGTTGACACTCGTTCTGATCGAGCGCCCAGAACAATCTAAGAGTTGATGGGACGACCGGAGATGCGACGCGGAAAGCCGAGCTGCTGAGAGCGGAGGGAGGATCTAAAAGGCGGCAGGAAATTCTAAGCTTGTCCAACCAAACAAATTCCCGTCTCAACAATGCCTGCTGTGTTATGAAAGGACTTAATCAAGATGTTATGAATAGAAGAGATTAAAATACCTTAATTGCAATACATTGTTCTCTTATCTGATTGATTACTATTCTATTCAGAATCCCCTCTGTATTATGGTTGAAAATCTGTTACTATCCGCAATCTATATATTTGTGCCTAAGCCTTCAGGCTCTATCATTTATACTACCCTATCTCAAGAAATCACATATAACTTACCACAAACTTCGTGGGTTGTTATCTCTTATTGTATGCATATATGGCTTATGCTTGTGTCTAGCAAGTCAGGCTTCGATGATTTTCGAATGTGTTTTATGTTACACCAGCATTGTTTCTTATATACTATATTGTTAAGAACTATTAATTGAATAGTAAATGCTAGCTTTTTCACCTGTGTATAAAACAATACCTCATGGAAATAAATATTCTGACACTTGTTAATAACTCTCCTGTCCACCGGTAAGGATTACCAAGAAAGACAAATACAAAACAAAACACGACAACCACTTAGGCTGCAGTATAGCTTCCCCTTCCTAAAGCGTATCTCCCAACGGTCTGGAACCGTGCTCGACGAAGTAGTCTTTCCTCGCTCCACCCACTATCTATACATCTACACATCTACACACCTAGCACAAAGACCAAACCACCCGAGAACACAACCTATACCACCCGATCAACACAAAACTGAGCCAACCCTCTCCACCATGCCTCTCACCCCAGACGCATCTCACGCACCATCCCCTCCCCAACCCCCCTCTACGCTCGACGAAGAATCATCCCCCCAAACCCGAGTCAAAGAACACATCGCCAGTGCCCTCTCGACAATCCTCACCGAGCTCTCCTCCCCAGACGGTCATCCCTCACTGACAATCAAACTCCGCTCCAATAAAGTCTCAGCCCGATTCATCAGCCCGCGCACGGGTGCCCTCGAGACCCAGGTCTCTGATACATACACCACCTACACATGGCCAGGCAAGGACTACTACGAAGCCTGGAAGTTCAGTATGGCTTTCCCTTCCGCTATGTGGTGGGGATTTCTCAGACGGGAGATATGGGGCACGCTAATGCAGTGGGGGTTGGGTGCGGAGTTTAGCTGTTGCGATGCGGGTGCTGAGCGGGATTGCGGATGCGGTGGACAAGGGGGTGGTGGTGTCTAAGAGGTATGATCTGGTATTCTACATGAGATGGGCCGGGGTGAGGGTGTGGTACGACTGAGTAGAGACAGGCGGAAGCCCGCTAACAAGTGTCGAGAAACCAGGGATATATACTACCAAGACCCGGCGATATTTGGATCCCAGCGTGTCGTTGATCGACTGGTTGACGATTTTGCACACACTATTGGTGTGGATCGGGTTGCGTTGAACGTGGTTTGCATTCTTCCTAATATGGGTGCTGTGGAGGCCGGAGAGTACGAGCTGACGCCTGAATGAATGAATCCATACACAGGGAGCCGCAGCTAAGGGGCTCGTGGTTGGGTGTTTCCACTGGAGGATCAAAGATCAAGCGATGGCTGATGATGCGCATTTCCTTAATGCGGTGGGTGCTGAGCCCATTGCAACGGGATCGGCTGGCTGGCGTGAAGCAGGCTGACTTCCTGCCCTGCAGGATACCCTGATCCCGAGTCCGCAGGACATCCAGGAGATGAACGTCTCGGATGTCGACTGGGTGCTCATTCTCGAAAAAGAGGTGAGGATATTCCACCCCGTATGATACGATCATCAGATCCGTGGTTAATTGTGGGGAGAGAGTAAACAGGCAGTGTACCGTCGACTCGCGGGGATGAAATACCATGTCAGATCTACAGCGGGTCTAGGGATCCTGGTCACGGTGAGATCCCAGCCTTTCTTTTTCCATTCCATGAGATGCCATTAAGATGACCCGCAACAGGGCAAAGGGTACCCTGATCTCAAAACGCGAGCCTTCATTCGCAGGCTTTACGACGCAAGCCGTCAACCAAACAAAAGACTGCGGTTCTATGCCCTGGTCGACGGTGACCCTGATGGGATGGCAATCATGTCCACGTACAAATACGGTTCCTTGGCATATGCGCATGAGAACAGTACCCTGAACTGCTCGGACATTCGCTGGTTGGGGCTCCGCACCTCGGACATCGTGACCGGCGTGGATCGATCCGGGAACGATGCGCTCGTCAGCCTGACAGACAGGGACAGGAAGAAGATCCTGGCCATGTTGTCGAATAATCCAGTTTGGGCAGTGGACGGTCCCGAGCAAGAGGGCCGGGCTGAACTGCTGCAGATGCTCATGCTGAACGTGAAGGCGGAGATGCAGATCCTCTATGACGGCGATGGCGGACTGGTCCAATGGCTAGACCGCAGGATGACGCACATTTCGTGAAGAAACAGTGTTACACTCGCCTTTGAGATGGTCGTACAAAACCCAAACGACCTGCACTGGAACAGTATATGCATTGATGAAGATATCAGGCCAGACCCTTATGATCTGCATGTGAGAGAAAAGGGAATGAGGGAAGAAGAATGGAGAATAGAAAAAGAACGAATGAGCGCACCACTAACGCCAGCACCGGCATCCAATGCGACCCAAACAAGCTATGCCACGCACTGACCCAGACACAGAGAACGGTTTATGCACATGCGCAGACATGACAAATCGCACCTTATATACTTTAGCCAACCACTGTACTTCCGCCATCACGTTCTGTGTTTTTGATCCGATTGTATAGCAAGGAGCATGAAACCAAGTCCCTGAAAACACCTATTACAACCCCAAGCCCTTCCGGACTTCGTCACGGACCTTTCGCTCGTACTCACTCCGCCGATCACGCCACATCTTAGCCGCCTCGACATTGGCGGGACTCTCGTCGTTAGGCTCCGCAAGCATGCTCATGACGGAGATGAGGATCTTCTCCACGCTCTGGATAGGCGACCAGCGTTCCGAGGCGTGTTCGTAGTGGTTCGGATCGTCACCCGGAGGGTGGAGGATCGAAATGCAGACGGTACCATTGGGGTAGACTAAACCGTGCCAGAAACAACGTCAGCCTACTGCTTTTGTGACGTACACACACACACATGCGTAGAAACATAGCATCCGACAACGGCGTGATCCAAGAACTTGGGGGGAAGACAAGAGAGAGAAGTACTAACCATTGGGATGCCAAACCCCACCGCCAACGAACTTCATCGTAGGCGGACTCAATGGGTAATCCTTGGGGAACTTCAACTCGGCCGCGAACACGCCGCCCTCAAACGGGGTGCCCTCCGGACCTTGAATCAGGGCTTCCCAGTGGAACATGTCATCTTCCGTGACGGGACCAGCGGTGATGCCATCTGGAGGGTTGGTCGAGAGGTTCTTGTATTCGTGGAAGAGGCGCTTCTGTGCGACGGACGACATGGTTGGTGGGTTGATTTAGTGATTTAGTGATCGCGAGAGAAAAGTGCTCGAAGAGAGTGTGTGTCTGTCTGTGGAAGTACAAAGCGAGAAGGACAAAGCAAGACAAAAACGCACGATTTGTCCTTGGAACGATGGAAACGATGGGGAGGGAGGGGATGGAAACTTGTTGCGTCGATTAGATAAAGAGAGGGAGGGGACTGGCGGGTGCGGAGAGAGACTGTCAGTGCCGTGTGCCAGGCCGACGGGGCGAGACGGACGGGGGCTTAATGTACTTGTACCCTTCTAGGGACTCGAGGGAGGGTGAGGGGGCAAATTGAATACTGGAAATGTGGGATTAAAAACGAATTGGAGAATCGGACCCTTTGCGGGTTTTGCCACTGGATTGTCCATTCAAAAATCAAGAATCCAATGAACACATCGCATCCATTGATTAAATCGATGAGGGGGAAAGATGGATGCCTCAGGCTACTAAGAAGTTCTTATCGCTATCAGTGACTTGGAGCTTGACTTGTGTACTGTACTGTACAACTACCGAAGTTGCGCTGGATGGACTCTCGAAGAATCAACTCTGAATGCTTAATTCAATTTCTATCAACCTATTGAAGCCCGTCGGGAGCGCTACTCGCTACGTAATTGAAGACCGACCCGGAGAAGCAAAAATGACGTGTATGGATTATGCGTCATCAACGATCAAGGTGATATCGACCTCCTCGCACATAGTGCCCTAAAAGATCCAGGGAGCCCGACGGGACCTTGTCAACGTAGAGAATGATTTCTTCTAACAGTGGGAAATTGTCCTTTTGCTCGACGAGGTCCAACAGCTCCTGCAGCAGATCGGCGTAATACTCGTCCACAAGATCGGTAATTCCCAACCTTGGAATGGAGTCGGGAAGGATGTCGACCAGATTCTGTACCAATACATTTTTGCAACCTTGATTCAGAAGGTGGGCATGGCGACATGTACGCTCTTGGAGAGCAGTGAATCCATGAAAGAGCCCAATGGTCCACCGTCGTCAATCATGTGGCGCTCCTCGTTCGGTTGCCAATCAGCCCCGAGGCGAAGAGTCTCGCGTGTTTTCTGGGAAAATTCAAGGGCTTCAAAGAATGTGCAGGCACGGAACCAGTATCTCGAGTCCGTTGCTTCGTCGTCTCGAAACACGGCTAGTCGTATATCTACATGCTTCAGGGGTGAGCATTCTTCGAGCCAGTTGCAGATGCCGCGGTTATCAAAGCAACTGTGGGCGATGATTTCGTTGACCCGGCTGTAGGAATGGCCCGCAATGAGAGGCTCTTCAACCGTTAATGCACCGGTCGGATTGCCCACGTTGTAGCTCTCGTTGTCGCTCTCATTGTCGCTCTCGTCGTTGCCATTCTCATTGTCATCCTCATTGTCGCTCTCATCATCGCTCTCGTCCCCAAGTCCATCCTAACACTCGAAGTCGGACTCAACCCCATCCTCATCGTCGCCCAGAGGCTTCAACCCCATCTGCAGCGGACCAAGCTCGACTCCCTTGATCTTGCGCACCGCAGGAAAGTAGAAGAATGGATGGATGAGATCAGTATCGATCCAGGCCGGACCGCCACTAGGCATAGCGTTTACTTCCCGCAGGCACGGAAAGGGTTCGCCTCCACCAAAAAGGCATCACTCCCCATGCCGCCCGGCGGAGGATCGTGATCGCCAGGTCGTCTGTCCTTTCATGAGAGAGGGTGATGCTTTCCAGGTGCGTCAGACGGGCGAGGAGAAGGGCCTTCCAGGCTTCTTCGGACGGCCGTTGCAGCTTCGCGCGCCACCGTCGCCGGAATCCGTCCTCGTCGGCCTCAAAGATCTCGTCGAGGGCCCGCTCGATGAATCGGCGCACTGCGGGCCGTATTTTGATTCGCCTCAGTCCCCCCACCACCCTCCCTGGATCGTGATACCAATCGACGGTCAAGTGGCGCACGTGGCGGGCGCGGTCGGGGTGTTCTCAGATCTGCATGATGAGGGAGATGTAACGCTCCGAGAATTCGTAGTAGCCATGTCAAGGTACAAATACAAGAACGGCTGGGAGAGGGCGTGGAAGCGCCGCGAACACAAGGTCAGGGCGTGCAGATCATTGTAGGCGAATTTGACAATTGGAAGAAGTAGTTCATCCGGTAGAGACTCCATGGCTTTTGATGTTATGATGGATCTTCAGGTTGAATTTATAAGTCGGTTACAATCTAGGCAGCGATGAGGTGATAGATAGGCAGAAGTGACTCTCTGAACTTGCATGAACTTGCATGAACTACCTACTGTATACGACCTCGTCAACCATATCTGCACGAAGTCTCACTGCTCTTCCTACATCAATCCAGTGATGGCGCAAACCCACAGCCTATAGCGCTACCCGCATCTTGGCCAAGCAATTGAGACTGTGAGTTCTCCTCAAGCGAGAAACTCGGTGCATCTCTGCTAGCCCTGTCTGCGGTCAATATGAAAGGCCGAGAGCACGTGACTAGTATACTCACGGAACAAGATTCCCGAGGCGCTTGGCAATGCATGCCGTTTCTTGGTTACAATGCATAGAACAGCAAGTATCGGTTGTAGAGAGATAAGGATAAGATTGAAGAGTTGACCATAGACCGGGGTACCGTATAAAAAAAGGTAAACAATCAGAGGCATCAGAACTTGTTGCACACCGGCTTCGAGTGCTCCCAAGGCGCTGATCGAGATATTTCCACAACGTGATGCACGTTGCAGGGGAAGTGGGTCATCACTTCCGGCCATGGAGTCTTGAAGAGCCATAGGCTATAAGGCTAGAAGCACCTCAATAGCTTGTGCGTCCCCACATTCCCTGGTGAACGGTCTTTTCATGCCATTACATCTTCAGCTGAGTTCCCAGATGGTGACCTTCCGGTATACCTTCCGGCGTATATGTGGGATGATAGTCGATACTTTGCGATGTTCCTTCAAAAAAAGTCCCAGCCATCGCCATCGCCTCCGTCGCCTCCGCCATCGTCTTCATCCATCCACGAGTCTTCCTCAGGAGCCCTAGGATCTTCTTGATGGTCCCATGGATTCTCGTTTGGCTCATCTGCCCAAAGATCTCCATATGGGCCTGTCTGACCTTGTGCCGGTGGCTGCTGGCCCACAGGAGGAGCTTGAGAGTCGGGAGGAGTAGGTTGATTAGCGCCTGCGCCCCTAGACAATGCGTCGTACCCCGCCATGGCGCCGGCGCCTGCTGCCCCTGCTGCGGCACCATCGGCTATGCCGCCAACGGCACCAGCCCCAGTCCTACCGAGGGTACCTGCAGCTGCTTCTCCAACAGCCCCAGTGGCGCCAGCGGCTCCAGCCTCGCCAGCAGCAGCCCCCCCAGCGGCAGCTCCCCCAGCGGCAGCCTCTCCGCCAAAACCGGGAAACCAGAGGGGCATGAAGCCAAAGCCACCGGCGCCGCTATGGCGACTGAAGTAGTCAAAGTCAATGCTGACGGCGGTGGCCAACATAACAGCACGCTGGTCTAGACTCATTGCAGTCGCGGCATTGGATTGTTCGGGAGCCTGCTCGCTAAGAGAGGCAGAGTCCATTCTCAAGGCATACACGCCAGTATCAGTGAAGAGCTCGCGAGCAAAGCCGGCAAAATTCCGGTTCACAGAGCCAATTAGCCGGCTATCAGCGGAACGGAGAGAGAAGTCCCACGACAGAAAAGGCTCATCCACATAGGCGAACTGATTATAGACACCCGAAGTCTGATCAGCTTGGGATGTCTTGACTAGCTGCGTTTGCTGAGAGCTGGACAGGCCGGTTTCTTCCATCGGTAATGTCTTCATTCCCATGTCCAAAGCTGAATTGGGAGAGCGGTGATATGTGAATAAGTTATATTTGCGCCGTAGCGGAGCCCACTGCTGTTGTGCTTCCCCAATCACTCGCATGTCCTCGAAATTAAGAGACGAAACGCGGGCATTCGAATCACCCGAGGCTTGAGCCAATGAGTTTGCAGAGTTGATTTGTACTGCGGTGGACGTAGAATAGGCACCTTTGGCCACCTCCAGAGGATCGTACACGCGGATCCGGGAATTGATCCAGGAGAATGGACGGTGGAACTAGAACGTGGGTTTAGTACTCGAACCGTGAAGCTCCCAGCTCTACAACTCACCCTCAGTACTTCCTTTTCGTGTTTGTCAAACACATGAGTGACAAAGCTCCGGTGGGTATTGAACCACTGCCGCGCCATCATATTTCCCATGCCTTTCTCTTGTTCTGCCATGAAGCCGATATGGTTTCCATTGGCATCCATAATGACATATTTATTGGCTTGTTCAAATCCGCTGCGGCAGAAAGAACAGATGTTAGCCTCCGTAGAGCTATACCGCAAGGGAGGACACTCACATCAAGACATTCATCAACTCCAGCTGGCGCTGAACTACCAGTCCGGAGTTCGCCAGGATGGACGTTGCCGGATGAGTCTCTTTGATCACTCCATGAGGATCTTCGGGGATGTGAACAGGAGCGAGTAGCGTGTTTTGCGAAGGGTCGTACTGGGGATTCGGAGATTCGGAAGGAGGCGGCGTCGCTGCATTCGAGGGTTGAGGTTCAGAAGAGGGTACATTTGGTCTGATAGGTTCTGGTCTGCGTATTGAATTGCGAGGGCCACGAGGCTTGACCCGTCCGCGGTTCAGGGAACTGGCATATGCTCGACTGGGAGTTCGGAGGCATCGCGCATGCGATGGTCGGAGTATAGTACTCCACATCTTGATTTGGATGAAGCCAGTCGGTCTATAATAGTTAAAAGTATTGTTTCCTGTAGGTGGAGGTAAGATGCGACGAAAAAGCGCAACAAGCGTTGGGTGAATGTTTTTTGCAACGAGAGAAAGATGGATGGCGGCGTTGATGACGAGTTGCTCGCCTCAGGCCAGTCTCGGCCCGGCTATAGATCGTTATCTTTTATCATATCGCCGCGCTTCCAACATGGATGCTCAATCTTCCATCAAGCACAGTATGTTAAGAGTCCAAGATGAAATAATTTACATATTTTCAATAAGGCAATACACTCCCTAGATCAGCCCTTCCGTACTCCTGCTTTCGCTATTTGCTCGTTGAGTGCCTCATGCCTATAGTGGTATCTTCGAAATTATACTTGCTATGATCTTCGGGGAGCCATACATGGCTAGCGACGAGGCATATCCACCACAGCCTGTTTGGTGATGATTCTCAAACGGGCAAATGGGAATTTATATATCTAGACAGGTTGACCGAGCACATTGAACGTTTTCGCCCAGCGAACATGCGTCTGGAAGCGGACAACGACAGGATCCATCGCCCTTGATTAGAGCTAACGAGCTTGAGTACAGGCTCAATGCCAGTCCAATGGCTTTTTAGCATAAAGCAGTCGACCAATATCTCACAGATTATCACAAAAGACCCTTGCGCGCCAGTTCGACCTTGCGCGCAGCCTCGCCCGCTTTGAAACCACCCTTAGAAACACAGACAGCACTTCCCTCTCCTAGCTCAATCTTCTCTTCGACATCGGGATGCGGGCAGGGACAGTGGTGGGGGAAGTGGACGCATGCTAGAGTGCCGGGGCATAGGTAGCGATCGCAGCGAGCTAAGACGTGGAAACAATCCATGTTAGTCGGCCGGCTGATCTGCGGAAATATGCAGTAAGAAAAAACAGAAGGCATCACGACTCACCAGACTCCCACTGACTCTGATAGCGAGAGCTGTCGCTCGGAGCATTCTGCGGGGCCTGTTGTTGATGGCCACCGCCACCAAACATATGCTCGAAGAACTGGAACTGAGCGTGGGCGACAGACGCCAGGAGCAGAAGGACTCCGACAGATCTGATCCAGCCGAGCATATCTATCTGCTTATGCTTTCTCCGTTTTGCGATAGAAGAGGGGGAAGATATCTAATTTTGAGCGAGCGGGAAGACCAGAGCTCGATTGTAATCCGTCCGATTAATTGTATAGATCCAGACGGCCAGTTGGCCCTTCCATGGCTGCACGTGACCAGTCAACCACGCCAAGCCTTTTCCCATCCCGCAAAAAAAAGGAAGTCGTCGGTCTGGATAGCTTCACTTCCCCCCTTCTCCACGCCAGGCAGAACAATCCTCTCCCTCCAGGAACCAGCCGCAATGTTTCAGTCTCGTGGAGTTCTAGCGCCCTTCCGGGCCCTAGAACGAGCCATTGCGCCCTCGACCCTCCGCGTCGCCTCCTACTCTACCTCGATCCTCTCCTCGCAACGACCCATCCTCTCCGCCATCACAGCCAACAGCACCACCGCCTCCTCGTCGACGACGTTACCGAGAACCAACACCACCCGCCTCCTTTCTCCCTCCACTCCCTCCCTCCTCACCTTCCTCACCCAGCAACAAGTCCGTCACGCCTCGCACGCCTCGCAAGGAACCGCGAACCGACACTCGCGCGACCCGGCCGGCAAACGTCTGGGCGCGAAGCGCTCGGCTGGCGAGTACGTGGTGCCGGGCTGCATCATCTTCAAACAGCGCGGCACGAAGTGGTGGCCCGGCGAGAACTGCGGCATGGGCCGGGACCACACGATCTACAGCGAGCAGTCCGGCTACGTGCGCTACTACTTGGACCCGGAGCGTCACCCGAAGCGCAAGTACATCGGCGTGGTCTTCGAGAAGGACGGCAAGCTACCCACGCCGCGCAACGCGGTCACCCGCCGCAAGCTGGGCCGTGTGGCCGTGCGCTTCGATCCCGCCGACCTCCCCAACCGCCAGCCCCAGGAGCAGCCGCAGTCGGCGGATCTGGTGGCCGAGATTACCGAGGAGGGCACGACGGTCGGCAGCGTGCCGGCTGCCGCGGTGGATGAGGGCCTGCAGTTCCGCCCCGGTTACATGTACCGTGAGGCCAACTGGTCGATTGGTCGCATCGCCGAGAGGGCCGGTGTCACCGCTGATGTGCACAGCCGGAAGAACCGCTGGCTCGCGTGGCGGAGGAGACAGGCCCGCCGTGACCGCACGGCCCAGATGAAGAGTTTGAAGAGACAGAAGAAGTCCGGGAGAAAGGCGAAGAATTAAGCGGTCGACGGCTCATGAATGATACGCTTGGGTCATGCATCCGCCACTTGGTCCGCTCGCCTTGCTTTGCTCGTTCGGCCGCTTGCTTGCTTGCTTTCTCCGTCCGTGATATGACACTCGGTCCTTTGCATGCAGTGGCTGGTTCTTTTTCTATTCTTCTTGCTCTCGTCTCTGGCATTTGCGTACAGTCATGGGGTTTACATCGGGTGTTTCTCTTCCTATCTCTCAAGTTTTCATGTATTATAAGATGTCTCCAACGTGTCTCTGTCCCTGTCTATGTGTGCAAATAGAACACTTATTCACGTGGTCAATGTATTCCAGTTCAATTTTCATAATGGCCACTATTGTGGCTCCTAGACATAGTGAGCTGCGCAACTGAAGTCTCAAAGGAAGGGTATATGCGCTTAATACATCGAACATACGTCCAACAATTTTCCGAAAGAAAGTCAATCATGAGCCCGAAAATTAAAGACCCCAAACACGCCAAACCAGATCTCCAAATCCATATTTTCCTTCTGTGAAAAACAGCAAATAGCCAAATGCTGCTGGAAAGACACGGCCCAAACTTAATACGGGTTCCGTGAGTTCACTGGTCGAACAATCGACCCAGAATCAAACTCTGGCAGACAAATTCATTGCCAACAATCCTGACATTCGAAGTCAACCCCAGGTCATCGCCGGTCACTGACTCCACGAGCTTGGTTCGCTTTCGCTTCCTCGAACCAGAGCCAGACGCCGCTGACGAGCTCAAAGTCATGGCTTTTGCAGACGCTTTGTCATCATCGTCAATGTAGACCCAGTCCCAGTTGCGGCTGACGCGTTGCCCGTCTCTGGCCTGTGCATTGAGGATGGCTCGGGCAGAATTCAAGTCTGAGACACGCTCAATCCGCGACGCCCCGAGCGCATATGTCAGGAAGAGGTACGCCTTGCGTCGTTCTTCGTCGAGTCGTCCACTGCGTCCTGTGACTAGGAGAACGGACTGCCCGTTCAAGAGGTTGGGTCGCCTGGCGATAGTCTCCGACAGCCGTGCCTCGGTGGCGGAGTATGGGGTTAGAATCCGTGACTTGGTTGCTCCGTTCAAATAGGTTGATTCGCCGGCGGGAAGGAGGTATATTTCCCAATCGACAATGCGTCCCCGCGCAACGCAATCTTCAATCCAGCGGTCTGAAAGACAAGGGAGGTTAAGAGCTAGAGCTTGCATGTACTTTGATCGGCGAGAGTGTCTGTCTGCAATCAGGCAGGTAAATCCGACGTCCGCGGCGCTGCTGCTGAGCTGAAGAAGATCACGCTGTGTATCTGACTTGGGGGCTGATTGCTTGGTGGGTGTGGCAATGGGGGCATTCAGCGGTAGATCGAAAAGCTCATTAAATCCATCTTCGAGGATGCGGCCGTCATTTTCGAGTATCATTTTCACGACGCGTGTCTTAGCATCGTTGTTGTCACCGAATGAGACAGCGAAGACCATTCCGGCGAACAACCCATTCGAGAGACGGATGCTGCGCGAGAGGCGCGAACCAGGGGAGGAGATGGGCGTGGAAAAGCCCTCCAAGGGCGTCGGAGCACCGCGCTCAGCAAAAACAGGTTCGGAGAGGTAGGTAAAGGTGCGATCTTTGAGTTGATTCCACAAGATCGTGTCAAGGTAAATTCGTGAGATCGGCACTTCAATGAGGCTGTCGGTCACGACTAGGCCGGGGTTCGGAAGACTCTTGCGCTGCTTAGGGCCTACCATAACGGCCGAATAGCCATAAATATCAGTTACGGGAATAATCCCGTTCGCAGCACCCTGTTCAATGTCGTCGATGCTCAGCTTACGAACAAGGCTCCTAATAACGTGAGTGACCTTAGGCACGTTGGGCATGTCCACTTTGACGGCATCGCCGGGACGAAGTTCCAGTCTCTTAACAGCCCCCACTGGAATGTCTATGGGCGCGCTATCTTCAAATCTGACCCGATACCGAGATTGTGACGTCCCAAACGGCTTGCCAAAGCACGTTGCCGGGTAGTATGCACGCTTGGTCCCACTCCAAGCAGCGAAGACTTGATTGACTGCAATTGGGACATTTTCAGCCACTGGGGGGATGAGCGGCTCAACCATAGGCGAAATCTCGGTAGCAGGACTCTCCGCGATCGACGTATCTATTGGATCCTGAATCGTGATATCACTGCGTGGTTCCTCAGGTACAGGGCTGACTAGTTGACGCTGCTGCACGGCCCTCGGCTGCTCCTGGCTCAGCGTCTCGCACGGTTCAGCTTCTGTGGACTTTCGACGACCTAAGAGTCGAGACCGAGGCGGAAACCGTGGCCTGTCCCTGTCTCTACGCGGGACAAGGCTTCGCGGAGGAGAATCGTCCATGTCCCAAATACTCCCGGTCCTCCGAGAAGGTTTGAAACGTCTCTGGTACCCTGTAGCTATCTTGTTTTGCGTGGATCCTTGCTGCAACTTGGATTGCATGTCAAGCTGCATCGCCGGCACGGTCGTGGTTGTTACTGATTCAACAAGACCTTGAGGTAATGGTGCAGCAGGTCCGAACTGATGGTTTGAGCGAGGAGTCATTGGCTGGACAGGATCAGAAGCGTACACACTCTGCCCGCCGTTGCCTCGGCGTTTCTTTCTCGGTGGAACAGGAGACATGGCAACTGCAGATCTGAACTCTCGGTCGTCGGCTGACAAAATATCAATGTCTAGGTTGAAAGCTCCAGTTCCTCCTTGCGGTGAAGCATCAGCAGCAATTTCAGTGAGTGCCCTTCGTGTTCTTCCACTCGGGCTCGAAAGGATCCTGGAGTTTGGGACTGGAGATTGTTTCAAGGGTGAGGAGCTGTTCAAGAATGCTTGATGCGGGTGTGACGCCCGCTCAAGCGCAGTGTGATAGGCAGGCGGCAAATCATCATCAGTATCCTGATCTGCTGTGTCGTTGTTGTTCATGTCGTTAGACCATCCTTGGTTTTCCGACCGACTGGGACTAGTTTCCGGGATACTGGTCATTGGTACTGCATCCGCATAACCCATAGGAGGAACCGGCGTTTCAGCGACGCGAGAGGGCATTGACGACGATTTACCTCGAATATCATGTGTTGAAGAAGGTTTGTCACCTTCGACTCCGGGCTGCTGAGAGATCGTGCTACTGGACTCTACCAACTTCTTCTCTGGAGCCTGGGTGGCTCGCGGGGTGGGAGAGCAATGGGGGCTGCCTGAATTGATTTCGCATAGATTGATGCCCTGGCCCTCACCCAACTCGGATGACAGCCCAGTACGCCGCGATTCCGCAGGGGGAGAAGAGCGCATGCGCGATTGCTTTGTGGGTGAGGAAACAATTCTTTCGATGTCCGATGTAGGCTCTATCTGGGCCTGAGAGTCTGGACAACGTGACGTTCTTCGGCTGCGATTCGTCTCCATGTCTTCGTCGGCTTCCCTCTGCCTAGGAGAACGCTGAGAATCTTTCACGATTGACACTTGTGACGACCTGCCAAATTCTTGCGGTTGTTCTGCCGGTGCGATGTTGCGAATTAGATGTGCCCGATGTGGCTGCTTCTCTGGGCTTCCGTGACCGGGCGATCTACCACCATCAAAGGCGAGGGCCTGCGAAAGACGATCATGTGCACTAGTAGTGGCAATTATTGGAGTTCCTGATACATCAAGGCAGTTTTCTTTGTCTTCCTCTGTCGCCGAAATATGCTCAGTAGATTTTGGGATGGATTGGCCCCTGTTGTCTTCTGGCTCTCGTTCAGTCTCATCGTCGCTCGTTCCTTCCGGCTGCGGAACGATAGAAGCTGCAGCCGATTCATGCTCATGCTCCTCATCAATCCCTGCCGCAGATTCGTCGTTCCAAACTTGCAGACCCGAATCCTCCGATGGCGACAACGTGCCCTTGCTAACTTGTCTACTGTGACCACTATCTGACCGTGCAGGTGCCGTCAAACCTGCAAACTGAGCCGCAGCCTCCTTCTCAATTATGCGCCGACGCCTCATCCGTTCAACAAAGCTAGGCTCCTTGTCGAAATCGTCATCACTATGGTCGCCCGAGAAGACATGGTCCGCCGAACGCGTCATTCGCTCATTTAACGTTCTATCCCGGTTTGCCTGAGATTCCTGCATTGAAATGTAGTTGAGTTTGTGTCCCGAAGAATCTCGCGGAAATGTTGCCGCCATGTGATTGTACGGAGAAGACAAATTCGGGGCAAGTGGAGTTTTCTGGATAGGGATATTGGGTGACGGCCGATCCGATACGAGGTCAGAATGGGGTTGTCGATTGACTAGAGGGGAGGATGGTGCCTGAGTAGCCTTGAACACTTGGCTCAGAGCCATGATTCCACCGCTAGATCCAACATCCGTGGCGAGAGGATTCCGTGAGACGGTGGGAGAGATGTTAGCAAGGCCATCCGAATGAGCCCGCTTGACGGCTGTTGCAGGGGTCTTCATCACGAAACGTTGCGATTCGGGAAACAAATCTGGTTGATATTGTGCGGGCGATGAATCCCCAAGCTTAGAGCTGCTTCGATCCTCATGATCATCGGGATTGATCACTTCCGTATTGACATTTTCATACCCAGCCAAAAGATCAATATGACCGCTGTCTCCCTCATGGAGGGTCAGAAGTGTAGCTTGATCTCCGTAGTTGCTGTCGGGGCCCATCTTGTGGTCTGCCTCCTGGTTTTTGCGAATGATCTCATCATAAACCCGCTGGGAGATCACCTGAGTATCCGCAGGGAGCGTTTCCACGGAGCCCATTTTGTCCAGTTGAATTGCCGCGTGGCTGTTTGGGCTTTTGTCGAGAGATGATGGATTTGGTGGGTTCATAATCGCGCCCTGCTGTGCTAAAAACGATGACGAACTCGCTGCCACATGTTCGGGTGATTTCTGAGCACCTTCTTCTTGATCGACCGGCTGATGTTGCTGAGGTAGAGGCCCACCATCACTTTGATCAGGATATATAGACACCTCCGCCAGATGTTGGGACAGTACTGATTCCTGTACAGGGAGTAGAGATTGACGGGATCAGTCCGATGTCGAAAGAGATGCCGCCGCCACTGAAGCGATCACTCACCTGGCCCAGCGCGACGCGTTGCAGCCTCGCGATGTCGATGCTGTCCTCTTGCGTCTCCATGGTCTGTATCACTCCGTTAGATCTAAACCTTTGAAGGAGATAGATTACATCGCTCCCACAGCCCGGATAAGGAACAGTTACCCTGGGGCTGTAGCAACGACCGGACAAGTTCAATGTCGTGCAGTGCAAACGAGTGCCTGTCGGAACCACAAAACGCGAGACGCGTGTATCACGTGATATAAACCCATATTACCGCTCTAGGTCTAGACTACGCTCTCCAGCTGGCACGTACAAGTATGTGGTTGAACGAAAATATGGTGACAGGGAGAAGCATTGTTTTGATCATATCGGGATATCGTACACATATACAGCCTTGTGAACACACCGCGATGGCCAATTGGAGTTTTTACAAGGTGTTTATTCCAACAACAGATCATCGCCCACTGATGATATGAGACGAAGAAAGAGACATATTCAGTCACGGGTCCGGTTGGGCACCCATCTGCGCACCACCATCTCTCGAACTTGATATCGACCAAGCATTTCCCCGATATCAGTCTCTAAAGGCACGTCCAGATCGTAGGACACTGGTGGTGGCACTTCGACATAGCATACCACCAAACTCTTCTTCACCTGTGCCTGAACACGGTTGACACAGTGCAGCCACCACCAGCTACGCGACACCTGCTTAGCACAGTGTGTCCGGCGCTCCTTCGTCTCTGACCAGTACGGGTTGACATAGGATGGAATGACCACGACCGCAAACTCAGCGTGGGAGAAGACCGGGCCACGGTTGTAAAGAAGATAATCCACTCCAAACTTCACGCCAGATCGCACCACCCATCCTAGCGACCGGAAATGGTGGTAAACGACATAAGATATTAAAAATGTGTCGTCAGGTTTCAAGCCCGTAGATGGGTCCCGGGAGGGGAATTTTGAATGGTGACAGAACAATGGAAGTAAAGCTGAGGACGGGATAACTGCTTTCCGTGTATCATCCCAGATTGTCAATGCACCAAGGCCATAGGCGAGAAAGAAGGCTTCCTCGTTCGACAAGTGAAGGTGTTCTTCATTTTCCAAGCTTGGCTCCCCTTCTCGGCTAGCTCTGCCTTCCTCTGCTATCACCTCAGGCAGCTGCAGGATAGCCGAATCAGAAATAAATTCTTTGGCCTCTACTACCGGGGAAAATCGAACAGTCTTGCCGTTACCGTTCGGTGTCTGTTTTCCGGGGGTGCCAGCAGGGCGGGCCTCCCCGTTCTCTGTGACCGCGCGCTGCGTACCCAACAGCTTCGCTTCTTTCGCTTTTCTTAGGGAGAATTTCTCTGTTGAAGCGTCCGTGGACGATGATTGCGAGGGCTGCTCGACAAACGAATCAGAGCTTTCCCGGGCAGCTGCTTCGGACTTCAGTCGTTCTTGAATGGCTAGCTTCTCCATGCGGGCACGCTCCATCTTCAACTCGCGGCGTTCTGTCCGGCGCTGTCGGGTAACCTCTTCGCTGGTCGTGCCACCGAGCAATCCACGCCGTTTCTTCTCTCGCTCCAACCAGCTCGGTTCACTTCGACTAAGATTGCCCTTGCCGAAGAAGCCCATCTCCCAGAGAGCTCGGATGGCCTTCGGATCCGTGACATGGACAGATGAGGTTGCTGAGTCAAAATAGGCCGGGTAGACATGCTGCTGGGGCGGTGCGATAAGGTACGTCAAGTAGGACAGCAACACACTAACGATCGACAGTGGGTTGTGGGGTATCAAAGGCGGCAAAGGATGGACGTCGACAGGGAAAGGGAAGCGATGAATATGCCTGTAGTTGGGCCGCGGTGGCCGCGAACGACGAGCAGGCGTTGATGCAGTTTTCTGGAAAGACTCGCTGCTTGGACTAGCAGAGACAGAGCTAGCCTCTTGCGAAGATTTAGAAACAGAAGATGAGGGAGCCATAGTGAATAGATTAAATTGATAGACCTCGATAGTTCTAACTACTGATGAAGAGTCAGCAGGCAACTCTTCAATTACGAGACAGTACAGCCGTGATCCTCGACTGGTTGAAGAGTGCCCTGGACGCTATTCATATTCTTCTCAGATACCGTTGTAGTCAAAATAAGCCTTCATCGACAACAGCGAAGAAATCAAAGTTGCCATTGTCTAAGCTTTTAGGTATGTTATCATCACCGAAGAAGATGAATAGAATCCCGGACCAACTCTTGCAAGATCGACGAAGGCTGCTTGCTAGCCAGAGCTTACCCGAAATCTTCCCTGAGATCTGGGTTGGTTGTCTGCGCGAATGGATTTACACCAATTGGGGAGTCAAATAGCAGCCAGAGTAGGACTCTTTATCAAATCATAGTGAAATGATATAGCAGATGCACATTAGCATCACAATAGAGGTCCTATCCTCACTGCCCACATCCCAAGAACTGTGTTGTGCAGACAAAAGTCAATAATCAACACTCAAAGACGGAGAGAAAGGAAAAATTTCCCAGTGAGAATTCGCTTGAGATCTTTTAAGAGTGTGACGCTGACTCAGCCAAAACTGCGGGCGGTGTGAGCAGGGTCCGTGCGCTGAGCTTTTTTGCGGCCCCAAAAATTTCCTGCGATTCCCAAGCGGCCGAGCGGTTGAGATTATTCTTGCAATTGAACGTTAACCCCACGACGACACTCGTTTTTGCCTTTAACAAGTCGACCACAGCTGTCAATCATTCATTCAAGTACGTTGCCGTTGACGATGTAGTGACTGCCGTTGCAAATGCTGGTGCTAACTACTATACTCTAGGATGCATCTTATGGTATGTTTGCACAACTTATCATGTGCACCACAAGACACTCGGTTAGGCTGGAAACTCACATGCGCGATAGTACACCCTGGGCGAGGATGGCAAGAGGATCTACACCTTGAAGAAGGTCCTCGATGGCCGCACCACCAAGTCGGCCCACCCTGCCAGATTCTCTCCCGATGACAAGTACTCCAGGTGCGTTCGGATATCATGAACCCAAGATGGTCAACACTCTTCCATATTCAAAAGTGCTGACATTTCTTCTCGCATCTAGACACCGTGTCACCCTCAAGAAGAGATACGGTCTTCTCCTCACCCAGCAGCCTGGTACGAGCTACCCCGTGACGCACATGCACGATCGAAGCTAATCCCCCACTTCAGAGAAGGAGGCTGCTCAATTGTAAAAGGCGAGACGATGAGGCAATAGTCGCTTGATATACGCACGGTGCTTTTGAATCATTTATTGGCGAATGGGGTTATCAATGGTCTTTGAATGGATGATCAAACCATTTCTTTTTATCTTTCCAGTTTGTGCGGTGTCCGATGATTTCACATGTGGGAAAAGTAATATCATTCTTGCTGCCCATTTATTGGTGATTTATCTCGGTCATAATTTACCATCTACCAATGGAAAGGCATTTGTTCCATCTATGTCCATTGCGTAGTGCATGTACATGTAGCATGTCTACCTCAAGCCACCGAAAGTCAAATCACCATCATAATCCCGTAGTCGTCAAGACCCTTTGAAAACAGCCGAAGGGTCATCAAACTTTTATGCCAGACGCCATTCCAAATGGATGCAAAGAGGAGAAGAAAGAAAGCAGCGAATCCAGTTACCATCATTACCGCTTTCTCGAGTTCACGTTCCTGCCAGCTCCTACACGCACGCGACCATGTCTATTACGCTCGCCACTGAGGATACTGGGGAGATAATCCTCATCCATGAGGTCGTGCTCTTTACGCATTCTGCGATTCTGCTCCACAGTGGCGCGACTGTACTCCTTCTGATCCTCCGCGAAGATGAGCTCCGTACCCCAACCACCCTTGCCACCGCCGCCCTTCCACTTTCCGTTGGAGCTGCCATGAACTGGCTTAGGAACGCTGTAGACGTTTCCTCGGTTGTTCCACTGCATGTTCTTCTTCAGGTGCATTGTGAACTGCCCGTTTGAATTGGTCGTGCAAGACACCCGAGTGAGGGTATCCTTACCACAGCGCGGGCAGAATTGCTTGTTCATATCCTTGGTAGTAGAGAAACAAGCATGGCAGCGCTTGATGAAGGACTTCAGGTGTCGAATGCGCTGCAGCGTGGTGGTCGAGAGAAGATTGAGGTTCATTTGGAGTAGAACATTTTGACACTGTATGTATCATCAATATGTGAAGTCTCAATTTGTCGAAAAGTACATACCGCGAAATCAGTGGTCATGGTAGCGACTTGCATGACCTTTGGCTCGGGGGCCGCAGACACAGAGCTGGCTTCGTCGCGGGCCTGCCGCTTCTTCAAGTTCGAGGGCGTAATCCAGCCATCGTCATCGTCGCCATCGTCAGAGCCTTCCTCCTCATCTTCTGCTGGAAGTTCCGCGTTCTCTGCGACGACAACCTCCGTCTCAAGCTCCTTCTCTGCGACGTTCAATTCCTCCAGCTTCGCATCCTTCAGGCCCTCCGCGATAGCATCAACTTCGGTGCTCGCCGCTTCCGCCTCGGTGTTCTTGCTCTCTGTGATCTCCTCAGCCTTCTCGTCGGCAGGCTTGCCGGCTTCTTGCTCAGATTTGTCCTCCTGCGCAACCGAAGCAGGCGGCTTGCCGTTCACCTGTTTCTGGCCCGGTACGCTGCGCAGTCTCCAATCGCCGCCGTTACGCTCACATTCGATTTCATAGGCGAGGGCGATAACCTCCAGATCAGTTCTACTGAGCACGGCCCGGTCACCAGTCTTGCGGGCGAACTCGCTAATCACAGCAACACTCTTGGGAGTCGGGGTGCGCTGCTTCAGAAAGGGCAGATATAGAGTTTCAACACGCTGGCGAGCCGCAGGATCCCGAATCTCGTTCACAACTGAGGGAGTAATGAGGAGTTCTTCGCTTTGGGCGAGAAGGGTCGAAAGTGGCGGGGTATTCTTAAGGATTGGGCCGGCATCGAGCACGATCGTGTGGACGGGCTTAGGAGGCGTTCTGGTGGTAGTTGCGTCCGCCATGATGGCGATGTGTATATCGGATATTTGGCGTCTGTGTCCGATAAGAACCTTGCCGATAAATAGGTAACAATGTGGAGGCTTTCTGACTGCAAAAAAAAAAAAAAAAAGTTGTTGATGTCGGAGACGGAAATTGGATGGAGGGAATTTCTCCCGCTGGGTCTGTGCGCTTATCCTTATCTTAGCGTCTCCCTCTTCATCTCCTACTCCGTACTCCGTACTCTTTTCGAACTCCTCGAACAGGAAACTCCTTCGTGACGTACGTATCTTGTTCGACGTACACAATGCGTCATTTGGTCTGAAGTATATTGTCTCAGGGGACTCGGACACATCCACGACAGCCACGGATGCTCCCCCAGTTCCCGGTTACGCAGATGGAACGATTCCAAATCACATGGTCTTGACAGGTCAACTCGACCAGATGCCTCGACTTGTCATTTGAGACAGCTCCAGAAAATGTCACATGGCAGCCTCAACCGCAAAGAAGGAAATCCACTTCTATAATTCGCAGTGTACGAAAATAAGAAGAGGCTTTGCCTTAAGGCAAAAACCACACGAGGTTCTCCAAAATCACGACGATTGCATACATAGTTCGATTACGCACGGAGTTCTCCGATTGAGCAAGGGCCTGCCTGGCTCGTATTCGAAAATGCTCGAAGTCAAAGGAGTTGATACAGCCCGGCTATGTTCGCATGGCGCGCACGAACCAAAGTACGCTTCCTGCGACCGTCGTGGCCATGCTGTGGACCAAGGTGCAGGTGGACGTTACAGTAGGTGGCGAGCTGGAGAGGCGGAGACGGAGTTCCTGGGACGGAGTCATGTCTGTCTGGTGTTTGATATGATGAACTAATGCAGGTTTCCATGATAGACTGCAGGGTGACTGACAGCATGGCAGCTGATATGCTGACAGGTACGAGAGTATTGGCATTTGGTCGAGACTACTGAAGATCTAGAGACATCATACAAGCCTTCCCTATAGTCTCAAATTTTGTTGGCCTGAGGCAACGCACATTGTTCTGGAGCCAAACATCCTCATGCAGAATAAGGTGCCGATGTCGCCTGAGAGGAATTTTCTAGTCCTTGTTGCGAGAGGCTGGGCTGCTAGACTAGCCCAGATTGCGATCTGGCGAGGAGAAGTCAACAAGCACGACCTTATCGCATGGCGACGGAGTCTTCACGTGTGCGCCCGGGTTTCACCTCCTCATGTCTGATCCATGTTGATGCAATTAGAAATTCAGGGCGAGACATTGACAAAGCCCGGCACGGCCGTATGCCAGGGCCTAGCGCTGCTTCATAAAGACTCGAAAACGAATTGCTGAAGTACGGAGTAGATATAACTCGCGCCGAGATAGTTACCGGGAGTACTGGGTGTAGTTGTGGAAATTCAAAGCAGGCTGAGCCCCTGTGCTTGGCTATCGCCTATGGAGCAAAACAATGCGCTTAGGGCTGGCACATCGTATTGCCTAACCGCAAGTCTTGATATTCCAACGGAAATTCTACTATCGACGGACAGAGTTCGAATCTTCCAATACCAACAGGCGTGGCGTTCGAAGTCGGTTAAGATCATCTTTCTAACAATCCAGGAGAAGGAGGCACCGATCAGCCAATTGATGCAGTTTGACTTGCGACTATCGCTGCAGTCACGGTTGTGATTGTCACCGCAGATGCCAAACAACATGCTTGTTTTCCCTTGAGGACGCCTAGTCGTGGCCAATTGGCCTGTCCTTCCAGCAATCGTTTAGTCTTGAGGCCCAACATTGCGATAAGAATGTCAATGAGTCAACAGAACCATCTGATGATGAGTGGAATCGGCGCTGGTTGGTTCTTTTCCCTGGCCGAAGGCTTGGGCGCTTTAGCGGATGTGATCTATCACTTCTTTATTTACCATCGGCGTTTCAGTCCAATGGCGACAATTAACTAACCTATGCAATTAATTAATCAACCACACATTCTTGACGTCCACGGATTTCCATGTCATCTCACGGGTCGCACTGGATTTACCAACACACAGCAACACAGGCACCCATTGTTCGGTACTTTGTTCTCCCCTTCCCCCCTCCTCCCCCCTGCAGGTCCGTTATTACATGTGGCCCATCTCCGTGCAGACCCAGAGATGAGGGAAATGACAGATCGCCGCTGCCACAAAAAAAAAGGGAGAGTCAAAGTACAATTTGGATAATGGGATTATAGGTTTACTCCACTGCGCCCCTCTCTCCCTTCACAAAAGAAGTCTCGCGGCTACTCGTATCCCTTGCTCTCTCTCTGTTCATCATGTTGGAAAGATGTCTAGTCCCTGCCTTGTACGACAGAAGCTAGAAGTGTCCTTGCTAGGGCGCGAATATAGAGATGCCAACCCCAGGGAAACCGAATCAGTCGCACCACTTCCCTGTTGGACATTGGAAAGGTGACCGGACACCATCCCTGCTGCAGCCCTCCTGGGCTCTGCGCCGGGGGGAAGGGGACTGACAGCTCCGCTCCAGTGTCAGGAGCGTAAGCACCCATCTGGGACCCACGATCTGCCTGCATCTGTCATCCCTCCAGAGAATTTGGGCGCACTGGGAGTACACATCGTAAAAAGGCTTCGTCCGGCCTGGAGCACAGGTACTTACGACGCCGACTCGAGGTAGTCTATTCCGTACGCATTGTGCGTATGGATTATGCAAACATCAAACCATCTGCATAGACTACTCCTCATCTGCGCCCAACCAAAGGGAGAGTTTTTGGACATATCGGCGATCTATCGCGCAGCTCCACTTTTCGTCTCAATTGACTGGCTCGGGGGATTTGGTGTCCATAGACAGTGGATACTGCCATCATTAATGACACCAGAAGGCTGGATCTGGTCGCTTGGTCCTCTGCTGTGCGTCGACCCTAAGTGCAGTCTGCGTCGCAGCCAGAATGGTCGATATCACACAGAAAGGCAAACAAATATCCAATCCTAACACCAAAAGAGACAACGGGGAACCAAGAACCTCTCCACTGATTTCTACTTATCGAACTAAAAGTTTAGTGTGGCTTCTCTCCAAAAATTGCTTGATTGCCCTCTCCCTTGCTTGCTTTTTCTGCCTTCCTCCTTCTCTGCACGCCCCATGATGTCTTAGCTTTTGCCTGCAGATCCGGAGAAGGGTTAGGACAAGAGCGAAGATCTTCACGGGTATGATGCTGCTGGTCTGCTGGTCTGTGTTGCATCTCGACTTTCTGACCGTTAATGGGTCCGCAGGACAAGAACTAGTTATAACCCTACCATCTCCTCCTTCCCCTGTGAGCAAGCCCCCCTCAGTGTTATGCCACATATTGCTTTGTCGCTGATCGGGGTCACTTAGGCCCCAGGGTTTATATGTCTCAACTTTTCAGACAAGCATACGGAGGCCCGTATAGTTTTGAGTCATCGGCCGTGGGAAGATACGACACCGACGCATTGATCGGGCGACAGTCCTGGACACAACAATGACAGAAACCCACTACCTTCATGGACGCTCCGAGCATGAAGCGGATGGATCATACATGTCTCCTCGTGGGGCCCAGGCTCTCGCTGTCAGTGTAGTTTTCACCACGCTGGCAACACTCTTTGTTAGCGCTCGCATCTATACTCGAAGATTATTGATGAATCGCATGGAACCTAATGACTGGATGATCTTGATCGCCTTGGTACGTATCTTAGTAGAGCTTCTGCATATGCAAATTCCTTCAGACTTGACTGACCACTCCCCAGGTATTGTCATTTGTCTTCATGGCCTTGTTCATCGTAGAGGCTCTGAACGGGATGGGTATGCGCCAGGTAGACATACCGCCCCTTATTCTCGAAACGCAGATGAAGGTATGGGGTTCCACTCCAGAAGCAATTGGCCTATGTACGGTACTAACCCTTCGCCTAATAATACTAGGCCTTTTGGCTTACCATCCCATTTTACAATGCCGCCTTGCTCTGCGCCAAGGCCTCAATCCTCATGCAATACTTTCGTGTCTTCCCAACAAGACGTATGCGCCGTATATGCTGGGCCATGATTGCTGTGCTCGCCACCTACGGGACCTGGGCTGTTCTGAGTGCTTTTCTCAACTGCGTGCCCGTGACCAAGTTCTGGGATCCCAATCTTCCTGGGTTCTGTCTGAGCTCGGAAGGCCTATGGTTCTCCAATGCCTCGATGCACATCACCACTGACCTGGTGATCCTCGTCATCCCAATCCCAGCCTTGTTGGCTCTGGAACTGCCGAAAAAGCAGAAGATTGCGTTAATCTCGATTTTTGCAATTGGTGGATTGTGAGTCAGCTTGCCGCCAGCCAAGGGCCAGCAAGAGTTCTAAATGCTAACGAGCCATTCGCAGTGTATGTGTTACCAGCGTCTGCCGCCTAGTCGCTGTCAAGAAGATCTCCGACTCCTCCGACCCAACCTGTGAGTACAACCCAGTCCCCGCAAAGAGGGAATCCCGCATCTAACCCACGAGCACAACAGACGACAACGTCGGCGCCGCATCCTGGTCCGCCATCGAATGCAACACCGGCATCATCTGCGCCTGCCTTCCGACCCTCCGCCCACTCATCTCCCGTATCCTGCCCCATCTTCTCTCCACCCTCAGCGGCGGCCGCCAGGCCTACGGCACGTCGCCCTTGTCCGGCGGACAGGCGCCCACCTACTGGAACGGCACGGGTGCCACGGTGACCACGACCATCACCACCCACCTCGACGACCTCGAGTACGCCCACTGCGCCGGCGACGCCGACCGCTACCTGACCCTAGTCCCTGGCAACGACGTCAACGGCCAGGGCAAGCTCATGGTCCGTGAGACCCATCCCGCCGAGGATCTGAAGGAGGCGTTCGCCCGCGAAGAGCCACGGGGCGATAGTTCGTCGTCATCGACACCGCCCCGAACGCGCAACATTTTGGGTTTTTAGTGACTGTTGGGAGAGAGAGAGAGAGAGAGAGAGAGTTGTGCCCATGTGCCATATCACGGAGGACGCCGAAGATACAAAAAAGAAGCAACGGTTGTTTTGTTTTTCTTTTTCTTTTTCTTTTCCTTTTCAGTATATATATATATACAGGAAACGCTATACCCCAGCCCTCATTTCTCGACTCTAGTTGATATGTTCTTACTTCAACCGCGGTTGTCCTGTGCTCTCCGTTCTTTCCTTGTGTTGTTCTCTTTCCTTTATATATTATTTTCTTTACTTTTTACTTATGTTATACTTTACATGACTGGGGTGATAATGGGTATGAGTCATTCTGTGGGACTGGAGTGGATGCATGTTGCTTCATTCGAATAATGACACGCTGTGATATAAGGTACTGATGGCTTGGGGGACGATTAGTTCACCTTTTAAAAAAAAGACTATAATGAGAGCCTGACGTTCCAGCTCTAAGAGGTCCGAATCAGGTTGCAACTTCACGATCGCGTTCAGCTAGTTTGTCGATCGTGTCAAAAAGCCTGGTACTAACATTACTATCGTAGACGTGGGCGTGATTTAATTCGACACTTACAGCGTTCTATCGCCGCGTCTAATCGTGATATATATTCTAGGCTGCACCCGTAACTGCTACCGCTAGCCAGAAATTGAGGTAGGACTAGGCAAGATTCCGCACAATCAGCAAAGCTCGGCCCCATCCGTCCTCTACTCTACACGCTTGATCTAGAAGTCCGCAAACTCGGCATCCACCTCCTCGAAGTAATCGAAGAAGCCCTTGAACAGTTTGACACCTAAACCGGGATCGAGACTACCGGTGGTGGCGCGGATGCTGTGCATGCTGAGTTGGGGGATGCCCATGTCGATGGCGCGCATGCCGATGCGGGCGCTGGTCATGGGGCCGATGGTGCCGCCGCTGCGGGAGTCGTTGCGGATTTGGAAGACCTGGAGGGTGGCGCCGCACTTGTCGGCGACGCGCTTCATGAAGCCGTGGCTGACGCTGTCGGTGGTCATGTGGCCGTTGGAGTCGGCGGAGACGGCGACGCCGACGTTGAGGCGCGGGGCGTGGTTCTCGAGGTAGACGTTCAGGAAGTTGGGGTTGACGGAGTGGATGACGTCGGAGGAGACGAGGAAGCTGTTGGCGACGGTCTGCGCGAGGAGGTTGGGGCCGAAGGCTGCTTCCGCGGCGAAGGCCTCGGTAATGCGCTCGATGATGCTGGACATGAAGTTGGAGCGCGCGCCCTGCCGCAGCAGACTGCCGATCTCCTCGTCGTCGAACATGCCGACCATCTTGATCGAGGCCGGCGACGCGCTGTCCGGCGACGCGAGCAGCGCCTCCTGCGCCGCGTAGCAGCACAGCTTGTCGTCGATGCGGCCCGCGAAGATCAGGTCCTTCTCCAGCCCGCCCAGCTGCGCCGGCTGGCTGTCGTACAGCTCGAGTTCCCACGAGACGATCGTGTGGGGGTCCTGGATCTGGAGCTCGCGCGAGATCACCCGGACCAGCTTCTCGGGCTGCGTCGCCGCAAAGCTGCCCGCTTGGAAGGCTGACGGGCTGTTGGAGGCGGTGGAGAAGAGGTCCGAGTTGTCGACGCCGATGATGGGCACCATTTGCGTCTCCTTGTTGAAGGGGCCCTGGCTAGGGGCGCCGAAGTGCGGCGCCAGCGTCGGGATCCGCGCGATCGGCCAGTCGAGCTTCACCAGCTTGGCCTCGATCTTGCCGCTGCTGGGGTCGCGCACGAGCACCCGCCCGCCAATCGAGAGATCCCGATCCCACCAGGTCTCGTTCAGGGCCCCTGCGTAGGGCGCCACGCCGAGCTGCACAAACCCGGCTTTGGTGGGCAGCTTCGACACCGGCTTCAACTTGGCGGTGAGGGCGTCGATGTGACCGGCCACGATCGCCACGCCATTTCCGCTCTTGTATTCCTTGCCAACTGAGAAGGCGATGAAGGCGCTCGAGTTCCGAGTGCAGTAGTATTTCCCGCCACGCACGAGCTTGTTCGTCCAGGATTCACGCTCGTGCAGGCGCTTGTATCCTTTGCTTTCGAGCTGTGCAGTGAATGCGTCAACGGCGTGGAAGATGGTCGGGTTGGCGGTCATGAAGTCACAATAGGGCTTGGAGTATGCGGCTGGGTCGATGGAGGCTGCTGGAGTGGCTGGTATCGTGTTTGCTGGCGAAGGACGGGCATGGTCGGGGAACGGCCCGGTCTGGGAGGAGGCTGGACGGTGGGCCAGGGCGGCTTCTCGAAGTTCAACGAAGCTCTTCTTGGCCATTTTAGAGAGAATGGATTTGTACGGGAGTGTGAATTAAGGTATGATGAGGTTGTGGAGAGTGATGGAAGTCGAAAAGAGGGAAGATGAAAGGACAATTGCAGATTGGGGGAGGGGAGGGGAAGAGTCAGTCAGAGATGCGGAGAAAGAGGCGGAGGGAAAGGCGGAGCTCCGGTCATTGCTTTGCATCACCTGAGCTGAGCTGCTTGACCGACTGCGGAGATCTTCTCTCTCTTCTTCCTTCTTTGGTTTCTTCTCCACATCCTTCAATAGTATCTGATTAATTGCTGTTTAAAGTGGCGATCATAGCTCATTGCAAACAATCTCCTGTCACAACAACTTATCCATCATTCTCTCTTGTACTTGTGTCACACCTTATCTACAGCCTGGAGCCATATCTCCATATCTCCATATCCCAATCCGATCCTCACGATATGCCCTGTCGTCAATTCACTCCCTCTAGTCGCTCGATCCCACAAAACAATTCCAATTCACATTGCCATCCTCGCAGTCCTCTGTGATGGCTGGTCCAGTTACCGAGGCCATCACCTGCTCGTCGCGCACAATCGTAATTCTCACCTCCCCTGTTTGTCCATCAAATGGAATCGAGCAGTGGTGCACACCCACCCCCGGAGCTTCAAGGATAGCAGGCTCACCTTCCCCAATCTGGATGTGGATTTCACTCGGGCTGCCCACGATTGCGCTGACAAATACGCGATCCTGCGATACATCGCCCGGTCTCAACTCCTCCTGGCCCACGCCCGGGTTGTTGCCCGTCGTCCCGTTGGCACTACCAGCGTGACTGGGATTCACTCGGTACCAGTACACGATCTTATCTTCAAAAGATAGATGGTCTCGGGGTCGGCTGTGGTCAACCATCCCGCCGTTCCGGTAAGCGTCTATGTAATGCGGTAGCAGCGCCCTCCAGGCATCGTGCGGGTGACCAAAACAATAGCGACCTGCCCCATCGGGGACGCCGGCCTCGTGGATGGGTCCGATATAGTGTGCCTCACCGTAATCATTCCAGCTGATAATCTGCGATGGTGGAGATCAGTCACCGACGAATCGAGGATTAGCGACTTGACCATACCTGGACGAAAGCGGGTTGTAATCTCATGACCTGCTCCCAACGATAATGCCAGAGATCATCGCCGCGCCACAGCCAGTTTTTATCCCACTGAGGCAAATTCGTATAGAACCAAGGCGAGACGGGCATCATGTACGGTCGACCAGCCAGGGACTGCATCCAGTGTTCGTCGCTGGCCGTGCTTTTCTGCTCAGCGCCAATCGGCCATGCGTCCCAGCTGAAGGCACCATCGACGACGTGGAGGTGGTCCACGATCGCGGCAGGGCCGCAGTCGGGCCAGCTTGGAACGAAGAAGCAGTTCGTGGCCCGTTTGATGTCGATCCAGTCCTCTGCATTCGACACGCCTATGAAGGTGGAAACCAACGGCCTTCCTTGGTAGAAATACTGGGCGCTGCGTCGCTGGAAGGTGTTGATGTAGTGAATGACACGCTCCACGGGCCACGGGCCTCCTGAGCCATAGTCAAAGGAAAGGAATAGAGTGAAATTCCCGATCCTTTCCGCAGCGCTGTAGGCATTCTCAAGGACATGGTCGGTGTAGCTGTCCTGTGGAGCGATGTTGAGTGCAAAGCCATCAATATGGCACTTCTTGGCCTCGATGATATCCGACTCCCACTCCTCGGGGGTCATGGCAGCTGCGCATCCCACCTGTAGTAGGGTTAGTTGTGCACTACTTGTTCCCAACCGGATTGCTTACGATGAAATGGGCGAACACGGTCTTTGGTCCAGTTCCGGAGGCGGCCGGCCTCGCTAAGGCAAGCAACAAGATAAGAAACCGAGACTAGAGATGCAGGACATAGACGACTAACCTGGGTAATAAGCAGGGCCTGCCTCCTGGGCGGGCCACGAACTGTTCGGCCAGCTTGGAGGCTGATTGTCGGGCTCAGGAGAAGCAAGATGTCCATACTTCTCTTTGACATGTTGCTGGACGCGATCCAGGAAGTTTCCGAAACGTCCCATGGCGGTTGTTGCGAGTGAACCAGACACCACGCGAGCTAGAAGAGATCGGACCCCGCTGATACGTGTCTTAGGTCAGTAAAACACCTAAACGGCCGTGGGAAACAAATCCAATGGCCGACGTAAGGTTTTGGAAGACGAGCGAGTCGACCAAAATAGCCGTGCCTAAACGTTGCTGATGAGACAGCGAGCGCCGAGACAATGTGGGGAAGAGCTTGGGAAGGCCTCTCATCTTTTTTTTTTTTTTTAACTTAGCAACAACCGCAAGTCCCTGGTGTGTGCAGGCATCATGCTACCTGTTCGAATCGAATGAGCTTCACAGCAATAGTGCTCAGCAAAACAAGCCACGGTGACCGGTCATGTGTCGAGGAGTCAGAATGCATTGTGTCTGTACTCTGTACACAGAACCGGTGTGGTTAAGTGGATCCGCAAGAATTCCATCAATGATTTCCGACGTGGCCGAACAGCAGCCAGCAGGCACAGTTGTGTTGTTTGCTTGTTTGATGTAGCATTTATGTTTCAAAGGAGGGCTCTCATTACTGCCGGAGATTGTAGCAGATTCAACTGAAGATAAGAACAACAGTGGGTGATTGATTGATTGATTGAATGCGGAGGAATTGAAGATGGATGACGTCATGGCAGTTCACAGCTCGATTGACTCTTGTCCATGAATTGGTAATCATTCTAGAGCAATATCGCCAATCGATAAGGACGTCAATCTACTATACTCTGGGGAATTAATTCCCATGGAACCGGGTTTGAGGAGAAAGAAAACGACGACCTCACTGTGATGTCAGCCGCAGGCGGCCAGATCGCCGTGGATTTATTACCGCAACAATGTCCCACGATGATAACGCAATTCTAATTCACTTTGCACATACATACATACTCATTTACACTCATAGCTCAGAGGGTCTATTGATAACTGATCTGTAATAATGGCAGCAACCCAGGCTGCTAACTTCGTCGAGAAGATGGTCGGACACAGTGGCAATGCCACCGTCACCACCGACGTGAGCAACTACGCCAAGGGGGAGGCTGGACAAGACACTGGAGAGAAGATCAAGGCTACCATCTGGCAGGGAAAGAACACGGTCGAAGTTGGTAGGTCTTCATTAATGTGGTGAGGCTGGCAACCTCTTCTGACAAACTTACAGTGGAAATGCCTAAGCCAAGGGTTATCGACGAGGAAGATGTGATCGTTAAGATCACCGGTAGTACGATCTGTGGAAGCGACCTTCACCTCTATCATGGTACCGTCCCATGTCTTGTTTGTAAATCATCCAACAGCAAGCCTGACTCAGTTCTCCACAGGTGTCATTCCCCAGCTGGAGAAAGGCGACGTGCTCGGCCACGAGTTCTGCGGTGTCGTCGAGAGTGTCGGGCCCGGCGCGAAGAACGTCAAGGTCGGAGATAGAGTGGTGGCGTCTTTCCCCATCTCTTGCGGCCAATGTAGGAACTGCAAGAAGGAACTGACCTCCGTTTGTGAACGGACGAACGAAAACACCGTCACTAATGCCATGTACGGAAAGCGAACCGCAGGTAAGTCTTTGATGTGAACAGTATCCCCGTGGTGCAGTGGGCGCGGACAGCGTGTTGATCCAAGTCCTTATAGGCATGTTCGGATACAGCCATTTCACGGGTGGCTTTGCTGGCGGGCAAGCCGAGTATGTCCGTGTGCCCTACGGAGATCAGAACCTGCTGCCACTTCCCGATGATGTCCCTGATGAGAAGGGTCTCTATCTCTCGGACGTCCTGGCCACATCGTATCACTGCGTTGTCGACACCGGTGTCGACAAGGGCGATGTGGTCGCTGTTTGGGGTGCCGGGCCGATTGGCCAAACAGTGGCCAACTTCAGTTTCCTGCAGGGCGCAAGTCGAGTAATCATCATCGACGGTGGCGAGGCATCATGGCGCTTGGACTTTGTCAAGAGCAAGATGCCCAAGATTGAAACGATTGACTTCACCAAGCTGCCTCGTGGGGAATCCATCACCTCTCAATTGAAGAAGATCGTTCCTGGTGGCCCCGATGTAGCGTTGGATTGTACATCGGGAGAATTTGCCAAGGGATGGGCGCACTACTTCGAGGTCCTCCTGGGAATGGAGACTGACACCTCAGAGATGCTGAACGAGATGATCACTTCCGTTCGACCCTTTGGACGGATCGGTATTACCGGAATTTATACTGGCTTTGTAAGTCTCGCCATTGGACTGAATGATTAGAAGTCAACTGTTACTGATGTGTTGAACAGACAAACCACTTCAACATTGGTGCTTTGATGCAGACTGGTATCCGCTTGATCGGAAATGGCCAGGCTCCGGTCCACAGATACTGGAAGCATTTGTTGGAGCTCATCCGCAAAGGAGAAATTAACCCGCTGGATATGGTCACGCACCGGGTACGTCTGGATGACATGGCCAAGCTGTACGAGCTCTTCAACAGTCGCGAAGAGGGCATCCAGAAGGTGTTTGTCGAAACCAAGCATTCATTTCCCCCCGCCGAAGGAGCACCCACTCTGGTTGAATTGTAACGATTGATGAGTAACGGTGGCGTCTTGACAGCATTCAAGGTTCCTTAGCCTCAGAATGATGGTTCATGTATCTATATTGTATACTGTAATGTCGAAATGAAATCTAAGCCACATTCATACGACGATCCACCTAAAGGAGAATTCTCGGATCAGAGAGGGGAAAGGAAAGGGCTGATTGCCTGCAGCGAATCGAGTGAGCGAGAATCGGGGCGGGGGACTCTTGACTCACCATCCTTGCTGAAGGGCACGGCCGTGCTCTGAAAGAGTTTGGCTAAATGCAAGACGTTGGATTTATTTGCTGGTGCTATGACGCCAACTCCGAGAGTACAGTACCAGCGTCCAAGCACCCTGGGCCACGCAAACACGAACGCATTCTACACACCAGATATAAAGATGCCCGGTTCCCTGCCTATGCTCATACTGAGATTTCAGTTACAGGAGAGAGCCGATCAGAATCGGCCCGTTTGTCGCCTACTTGTTTCCGTTCTTCGGCATTTGAGGTCGGGATGGATCCGGAGATGACTGGAGCTCCACGCATGCAAGGGCTTGGATTGATAAAGGGAAGAGTTTGCTCCTCCACTTCCTCCTCTCCTCTCCATTCGACTAGGCTGAACCAGGTTAAGGGAGGCGTTTCTCAAGACTGATCATCAATGTTTCTGGTTCGTACATTACGACACAGATTAGCATGGAATTTCCCGAAAAGGAAAAGTGGGATCAGATAAGATCAGGCGACGGGGGGATAAAGTGGTGCCGAGGCTTTTCATTCCCTCCTTATGGGTCGCCAGCTTGTGTCGCAACTTTCCGAGGACGACCTTGCGAGCTTTATTACTAACAGAAATCGCCAGCGGCGATGGCATTATTGGCCTTCAGTCTCCGACCTCCGTGGCTAATCAATGCGCGCTTCATAAATAGGGTAACCTGGCCCGAACTGTTTCCGGCACAAGCTCGGATTCTACGCCGACTTTCGTGAGGGTGTTTGTCAGACCCAGTGCACCAAATGGCGAGCCTGGAATTGGGGGGTTCGCCCCTTGCTAGATGCTAAAACACTTGGCGGAGGAGAAAAATCACTTCTGTCTCCATCTCATCCCGGATGCCCGCGTTCATCGCGGATAAAACTTTGGGAAGAAACCATTGACCAACGGGATTGTGGCCAAGGCGAAAAAGACTCATGTACTGTACCCACACAGGTGGTGCTGGTGAGATGAGAGAATTTGTGTCGACCATGGATAATTATTGAGTCATGGTAGTCATGATTCTGTCAGTGAAGTAGAGTGCCATTGAGGTGCAGGAGTTCGCGCTTTTGATCTTTCGGCATTGTAAATAGAGTATTTTCAGCTCACTGACACAGCTGTCAATAATAAAAGGCGCTTGAAGGTAGCTACATAAGTCAGCCCTACTGAAAAGCGTGGACAGCAGCATCAAACTCTCCAAAGAGACTATGAGATAAACTCACTCAGCATTCGAGCTCCATCCAGCAATCCATACCCTAAACCCCAACCTCGTCCCGGGTTGGAGAATTGATTGATTGATAACCCGCGTTCTACCACGGGACGGACGAATGAGGACAGGCAACGAGGGTCGGATCCACTGCCACTCCGAAGTCGGTGAACGCGCACGATAATCTAATCTGATCCGATCGTTCATTTTTCCCTCTGTGATTCCCCCTCCTCCAGTCATTCCCTTTTCCTCCTCCATTCTTCTTCTTCCTCGGTCGCTCTTCTCTGCCTGATCTGTCCTCTGCTTCACCCTCCTTTTAGCCTTCCCACCTGCCCATCACATCTTGACTATAAACCTGTCAATTCAGGGCCAATTGCTGGCCTTGACTCTACTTTCTATCTCTCCGGGTTTGCAGCAGCAATTCCCTTGTCTCGCTTACCGGCTGAAGGGGCGCACTTCCGCTCTTCCGGCCGAAGCGATCCAGTGACACCACCACAACTCCCACTAGAATACCGCCTTTCCTTCTACTGGTTTGTCCTCCGCCTTTCTTCCTTACCTTTCCGAACAACTCCTCACCAGCATCATTTCCACCACTTCCACCACTTCCACCTCCACTTTTCCACCCATGATATGTCCACTGATCACACCACAGGCTTCCTCTAAGAAAATAGAGGATTTTCTACCATCATGGCCAGTCCGAATGTTCCCTCGATAGCACCTGGTCCGGGTCCAGCGCCGCTCGCTCCCGCACTGGCTGCCAAGCCAGCCATCTCACCGTCTCCTGGTCCGGGCACTCCCGGCTCCGTCACCTCCAAGGAATGGGTGATTCCTCCTCGTCCCAAGCCCGGTCGCAAGCCGGCCACCGATACACCACCCACCAAGCGCAAGGCTCAGAATCGAGCTGCGCAAAGAGCCTTCCGCGAACGCCGAGCCGCCCGCGTCAACGAGCTCGAGGATCAAATCAAGAAAATCGAAGATGATCACGAGATTCACATCGCGACCTTCAAGGAACAGATTTCAAGCCTGTCCAGCGAAGTCGAACAATGCCGGAGTGAGATGGCCTGGTGGCGCGACCGTTGCCATGCCTTGGAGAAGGAAGTTTCCGTCGAACGCAGCGCCAAGGAAACCTTGGTGCGAGAGTTCCGGACGACGCTGACCGACAAGAGCTCCGACAAGGCCCCTCTGACCCTTATTGCGGCGAGAACCTCGGCCGAGGATCGAGTGACCAGTGATCACGGAGTGGCGACCGGAGGATCTACCACCATAGTCGAGGAGCCACGTGAGGAGGTTCCACTGGGCTGCGGCGATTGCTCTTCTGTTCATTGCCAGTGCATCGAAGACGCTTTCGCCATCCCGGGGGTCGAGACTCGGTCCTCTCTGGGCAAGCGGCCTGGCAGTCCAAGTCTGACGCGACCCGAACCCCAGATCAAGCCGGAGCCAGAGGAGATGGAGATTGACTTCACCACGCGGTTTGCCGCTCCTCACACCATTCAGGACGACCCTAGCACCTCCGTCTCCTCACCGGCCGTAGATCCATGCGGATTCTGCCAGGACGGAACCCCCTGCATCTGTGCGGAGATGGCAGCTCAGGAGGAAGAGCGCCGGAGAAACTCATTTGAGAACAATCGGCTGGCACCCATTCAGAATCTGTCTCAATTCACTCCCCCCCCATCTGAGGGCGACGTTCGGTCCGAGGTCACTTTGCCCCCAATCAGCGAAGCCACCAACCCGTGTGCCAATGGACCGGGAACATGCGCACAATGTCAGTCCGATCCACGGCGGACCCTTTTTTGCAAGACGCTGGCGGCCTCCCGCTCCGCCAGCGCTGCCTCCTCGGGCTGCTGCGGCGGTAAGGGCGCCGACGGCGGCTGTTGCATGTCTCGCGGTGCCAATGCTCCTCCTCCCCAACCCAGCGCCAGTTCGCGACGCTCCAACACTCCCTCCTTGACTCTCTCCTGCGCCGATGCCTTCACCACGCTCTCCCGGCATCCCAACTTCTCTCGAGCAAGCGACGACATCTCCGCTTGGCTTCCCAAGCTTCACACCCTACCCAAGCCCCAAGAGGTCGCGCCGCCAGGCTCCCGAGCAGCTCTCGAAGTCGAGGCTGCCAGCGTCATGGGCGTCTTGCGGTACTTCGATCGACGCTTTGCCGATAAATGAAGTGACGGCCCTCCCTTTTCTTCCATTTCTGTGCACTTTCCTTTTCTCTTCCCATGTGATACCCAAGACCCGATTCATGACTGTCTGAGTTTGTATTATACAAGACTACCTTCTCACCCCTCTACCTCATTCTCCCATGCCGCTTCCGCCTCCACCATCCCACCCTCTCTCCCCACCTCTCCTATCTCTCTATCTCCCTCACATCCCCGCCAGTCTACATCATTAATGCTCCAAAGACTCATTCAACCCATGATTCTCCATCCCCTCTTATGAACGGGTACACTCTTTTTTTTCCCCTCCCCTTTCCTTCCATCAGTGCCTAGTCTCCCCCCTTCCCGCACTGGGAAATCCCTCCCGCCCTCAAAAGAAAAAGTTAGGACCTGCAAACCCTCAACTCCGGAATCCACGATATGATCACATCACGACTGCAAAGCAAAAAGAACAAAAAATACAGCGGCACCAGGGGGTGCTGGACGGACGAGTTCAGGCCAACACCTAGTGTTTAATGATTCTAGATGGTGTGCAATGAAATGAACAGGCGTTTTTGGCACTTTCATGGGTAGAGTTTTTACGTATGCGTATGTGTCTCTGTAGAAGTTGCCTTGTTCAATCTGTATTCCCGTATAATGAGGGGCTGGCTGGCTGGCTTGCTCTGTCCTAGGTCGGGATGAACTGGGGCTAGCTGGTTGCGGGGATACCTTTGGTAAAGCTTTCCAGCCAGCTCTTTTTCATTACTCGGTCACGGGTGGGCTTGGTTCCGTGCGCGGTCGGTTCATAATTGGATGCGTCGCTAGATCGGCACCAGGTCAAGCCATCGACCCCATTGGACCCAACCAACACCAATACTCCAAAGGCTGTCCTTTCCTCCAGTACAATCTGCTACGGCGTAGACAGAGGATATTGTAAAGAGGTAGTAAGTGAATATCCAGTCCGGAAAACAAGGGATGGAGAATAGAAATACACTCCGTAGCAGCGTTAGACGGGGTTCATATTATAAAGATACACGAGACATCATTCCACTAGAATGGGAAGAAGATAAGAAGTTGAGATGAGAGAAGTCGGGGTAAAAGATGGTATGCAAGGAGAAGAGAAAATGATATCGCTAAGGTGTTTTACAGATCGCCGCAGTACGCGAACGATGAAGTGAGGTTCGTTAACTTCTTTTGCTTCACCCAATAGAACGCTCGTCAAGATGAGGTTTAGAATCGACCTCCGCTGATCCTGGTGTCGTCGTCGCCCGTCCCGCCAACCGTGCCCAGAAGGTTGGCACCCCAGATACCGGCAATCCCCCACATGCCGATGCGCCAGCCCCGGTACAACCCTTGGATTCCCTGGCCCTGGCGTTTGCGGTGGGTGACGGGCTTCTTCAGCAGTTGGCGCGCGCGTTCGCCCTCCGGTGTGGCTTGGACTCCCTCCTCATAGACGATTCCCCACATGGTGCCCACGATACCCCTGTAGGTCTGGGGAGTTGGTACGATGGTCTCGACCTGAGGGGTAAGGTCTTCGCTTGCGGGAGGTTCGGCCCGTGCTGAGCTTCCTGATTGCTGACGGATGCTAGGGGAAGTGAATGTTGCGATCTGGGCGCGGCGCAGCACAGTCTCAAGCGGAAACCGGACAGCCAATTCTAGCCCCGAGCTCAGGAACGTGAAAAGGCTCCAAACGGAGGGATTGAGCACAGGGTCGAGGGAAAGATAGGATTTGAGAATCAGCGGGGTCGTGTTGGTGATGAAGTTGGGCAGGCTAGAGTGAAGGACCGTGATGGGCACCAGGTGGGACGGGATGGTGCAGTTGGGAGTCGGGATTTGGCGGATAGCTCGCAGCAGAGAGCGCGGGCCGTGTGTGGCGGGGGTCAGGATGAGGAAAGTGCGTGCGGTATCGATTGGAGAAAGGAGCATTGCCGACAGCGACGAGGAGATGAACGACAGGAGTAAGGTCGCTACGGGTGAAGTTGACGTCAGAATGTCGGCTGTCATCGATGAGGTAACATCTTCCTCCGGCAAGCCGACGATGGCGGAGAGCAAACTGCGGATAAATGTATTCAAGGTGGGTAGGAGAAGGGAGTAGATGAAGGTAGCATTGGTCGCCTTCCAGGGCGAGGTCGGGCCACTGGTGGACCAGAGTTGGGAAAGCACGTCCATGAGCGAACTCGGGTTCTTGATATTGAGAGCATGTCGGGATGGGGTTGTCGAGGAAATGTAACCACTTCGATCGGTGATATGGCGGCGGTGAGGCTTGCGAGATCGCGATGTTGAGGGAGAGGGAGCTCGAGGTGCTGCGGAAGTGAAGTAATTGCTTTCGTCATCCGACGACAATGAATCCTAGAGCTTGGAGGTGAGCTTCCAACCACAATGCGAAGCCACTTGAACATACGTCTTCGTCGTAAGAATCGATATGGCTTCCGGGACCCGAAGATCGGTGGTCATGCATGGCCCATTGGCCGTCTGTCGCATCGCCGGGCGCGACGTAGGCCTGCAGGATGGTTTTGGCAACATCGAAAGGCTGAGCGGTCAAGACACTGGTGTAGCGCCAGAGGGCCTGGTCAAGAGCGTCGCGGATCCAGCTGGAGACCGAGGGAGAGCTTTCAAGGTAGTCGGAGTAGTCGAGATCGGGCAGCAGATCGCGTGCCGAACCGCCAAAGACTTGCGTGGCCGACGATGACGCATCTGGAGGGGAGGCAGCATGGCCGGTGTCCAGCCCCAATGAGGGGGGGAAGTAATAGGGGCGGAGGGGATTGGGCCCTTCCAGAGGAGTGGACATGATAGGGAGGAAAGGGGGAGCCGTTAAAGAGAGAGTGAACAAGAGAGTATCTGTGTTTGTAAGTGTTTAGAAGGGGGAGTAATAGAGAGAGAGAAGAAAGAAAAGAAGGAAGAGGGAAGACTGAGAAAGACTAAACTTACCGAAGGAAGTGAAGCCGAAGGAAGCAAAGCAAGCAAAAGAGGCAACGCCGGCGAATGACAAGCCGCGGATTTCCCGCTGCCGTTTTTCGGGGTTTTTTCCTTTCTCCGCCCCGAATCTCTCTTCCTCGTCCTCTCATCAATCCATTAATTTATTCAATTCCTTTTAATTCAGTTCGATTCAATCCACTCATTCGGGTCCTGCTCACATCAATCGACTTCAGTCTCTTTATATAACATTCCCCACCCCAATCTCCACTCTTCTACCTCCCACCCCTCCACCATGTCCTTCTGGAGAGAAGCCGGACTTAACCTGCGCCATGTCCTGCCTCGGACTGGCGAAAGCGTCGTTGGTCGCGCTCCCTCATCGCGATTTCTTGCCAGCCGATTCCCTCTTCAATCTTCGCGCTCCATGAGCTCCGGTCATGCTTCCCTACCTTCCCGGAGATCTCTGGCGGCCCCGCGCATTCAGTTGTCCGAGCGTAGGAGCTTCTCTGTTACCGCCGGAGTGCAGCACGGTCACATCACGCCTCCCAAGCCCGGAGAGGAGTGAGTCATATTCATATAGCTTATGCAATAGGGCTATCCTTCCATGCTGACTGTTGGCGCAGAATCAACATCTCGTTCATTGACAAGGACGGCGCAAAGTATGACTTCCAAGTCTCCGAGGGCGACAACTTGTTGGACATCGCACAGGCCAATGACCTGGAGATGGAAGGTTCGGATGCTCTTTGACCACTCGATCCTTGATCAAGCAGACTGACTGGATTGGATATCAATAGGTGCCTGTGGCGGTTCGTGCGCGTGCTCAACCTGCCATGTCATCGTCGAGGACGCCCATATGTTCGACAAGATGGAGGAGCCGTCGGACGATGAGAACGACATGCTGGATCTGGCCTTTGGCTTGACGGAGACCTCCCGCCTAGGCTGTCAGGTGGTCATGACCAAGGAGCTGGACGGCCTGGTGGTTCGGTTGCCGTCTATGACTCGAAACCTGCAGGCAAGCGATTTCGAGCCCAAGCACTGAGTCAAGGAATGTTGTGAAAGTCATTCGATTAGAGAACGATGTATGATATGTCTAGCGTCTACACGGGAGGTTTTTTGTCACGGGTGGCAAGGGAACATGTTTTCATTGGGTATTTCCGATCTCCATTCACCATTTTGAGGCATGAAAATACTTGTAAATAGAGCATATCACTTTTAATGCAGATTGTTGATAAAATAGAGAGAAACAGGAACGTAGAGTAGCCTAACCCCCCGAAACGCCATGGATATGCCAGATATACACACATGTCAATATCACACTTTCCATTCCTCAAGCCTCCTCGATCTGCAGCGGCTTGCCCTTTTTGCCGCTGATCAAATCCAAGAACCCTTGCTTGCTGACCTCGTTCACAGCCTTCTCGCGCTCGCCCATACCAATTGTACCCTTCTTCCGCTCCGCCTTAGCGGCTTCTTCTCCGCGAACCTGCGCCGCGCGCACAGCATTGAACAATTTCACCACACCACGCTGGGCAATCTTGCGCAGACGCTTCTCCTCTTCAGCCACCGCACCAGTCTGGCCACGCTCCAAGCCCATCACGTCGCGGATACGGCCACGGTCCAGCTCTTCCTTCTTCTCCGCGCGCATCTTTGCCCGCGCCTGGCGATCCAACTTCTCTTCTGCCACCTGAGTACTCTTCTGAGCGGCAGTCCTGCTGCGGGACAAAACGGGGTCTTCGCGCATCGAGGTAGGGAGCTTGGTCGCCAGAATCTTGGCCATTGAGTTCGAGAACGCCGAAGGGTCATGGCGCTTGGGAACAGCCCGACCACCTGTCGTCGAGGCGGGGTTGGAATTATCCGACTCTGCGCCCACATCGAATTCATCGTCCAAGTCTTCCGAGTCGTCTGCGTCCGAGTCGGAGGCCATATCTTCATCGTCCTCGTCTTCGTCGGAGCTATCGTGCTTCTTCTGCTGCTTGGGGGCGGACTTCTTGGTTGATTCGCCGATGGATTTGGTCTGTTTCTTGGGTTTCTTCACTTCCTCCTCGGCGTCCGAGTCCGCCAGACTGACGGCCTTGAATTCGGTGGGCTCGTCGTCATCATCTTCGGAGCTGCTGTGGTATGCGCGCTGCTTGCGGAACTTCTTCTGAGGACGGGATGCAATCGAGTCGAGGACTTTGCGCTTCTTGACGTAGGGAGCCATGCTGAAAGAATTGACCCCGTAGTTCCGGTTCCTCTTCTGTTCTCAAATTGGGGGAGTTGTTGTTGAGATCGATGAAATCCGTCGGTTTCTTTTTTCGTCGATTTTCCAGGAAATTTTTGGGTGGTTTGCGGGGCGGTGAGAGGGGAGTAGGCGGTGATTGGCGGGGGAGGCTCTCCGCATCGCGTTGGCCTCAAATGAAGTTCAACGCCATCCAAACCACCTCCAACCGTCTCCATACCTTGTTGTCATCTCTCCTAGTCTTTTAGGGTGTTGTCTCTGATTAGATTGAAAACATTCATCTTGCGACCTACCACAAATATCCTCAGCTTTACTCTCACCGAACCTACATCCCACTATGGTCCTTCAGGATCTCGGGCGGCGAATCAATGCCGCCGTCAACGACCTTACTCGGTCCAATAACCTGGACGAGAAGGTGTGTGACCTGCTTGTCACGAGGCGTCTCTCAGGTACTAACTCAATGATTGTAGGCCTTTGATGACATGATCAAAGAGATCTGTGCAGCCTTGCTGTCCGCCGACGTCAACGTCCGCCTCGTTCAGTCGCTCCGGAAATCCATCAAAGCCAGCGTCAACTTCGCCTCCCTGCCCCCCGCAGTGAATAAGAAGCGCCTGATCCAGAAAGCCGTCTTTGATGAGCTGGTGACCCTTGTTGACCCGCACGCCGAGCCCTTCCGTCCCAAGAAAGGTCGCTCCAATGTGATCATGTTCGTCGGTCTGCAGGGTGCTGGTAAAACGACCACCTGTACCAAGTTGGCCCGCCACTATCAGATGCGCGGTTTCAAGACTGCCCTAGTCTGTGCTGATACCTTTCGTGCGGGTGCTTTTGACCAGCTGAAGCAAAACGCCACCAAGGCCAAGATCCCCTACTACGGTAGTTTGACGCAAACCGACCCCGCCGTCGTGGCCGCAGAGGGTGTCGCCAAATTCAAGAAGGAGCGCTTTGAAATCATCATTGTCGATACCAGTGGTCGTCACAAGCAGGAGGAGGAATTGTTTACTGAAATGACTCAGATTCAAACCGCCGTGACCCCGGATCAAACCATTCTCGTGCTCGACAGCACCATCGGCCAAGCGGCCGAGGCCCAGTCGTCCGCCTTCAAGGCCACCGCCGATTTCGGTGCCATCATCATCACAAAGACCGACGGCCACGCGGCTGGTGGTGGTGCTATCTCTGCTGTTGCCGCCACCCACACTCCCATCATCTACCTTGGTACGGGTGAACACTTGATGGATCTGGAACGGTTCGAGCCCAAGGCCTTTATCCAGAAGTTGCTGGGCATGGGTGATATGGCCGGCCTGGTCGAGCACGTCCAGGCCGTCACCAAGGACTCCGCCTCGGCCAAGGAGACCTACAAGCATATCGCGGAGGGTATCTACACGCTGCGCGATTTCCGCGAAAACATCACCTCGATCATGAAGATGGGCCCTCTATCCAAGCTTTCGGGCATGATCCCGGGTCTGTCCAACCTGACGGCGGGTCTGGATGACGAGGACGGCTCGCTGAAGCTGCGCCGCATGATCTACATCTTCGACAGTATGACGGCTGCCGAGCTGGACGGCGACCCGAAGGTCTTCGTCGAACAGCCCAGCCGCATGGTTCGCGTTGCGTGCGGCAGTGGCACCACCGTCCGGGAGGTGGAGGATCTCCTCTCCCAGCACCGTATGATGGCCGGCATGGCCAAGCGCGTCGGCGGGCAGAAGAAGCAGATGCAGCGCGCCCAGAACATGCTCAAGGGAGGAAACAAGGAACAGCAGCTGGCTGCGATGCAGAAACGCATGGCCGCCATGGGCGGTGCCGGTGGCGGCGGGTTCCCCGGTATGCCCGGCATGGGCGACATGGCCAAGATGATGCAGATGTTGCAGGGCCAGGGCGGCGGCGGCGGCGGTGGCCTTCCAGGCCTTGGTGGTATGGACTTGCAGAGCATGATGAGCCAAATGGGCGGGCTGATGGGTGGAATGGGCGGCGGTGGTGGCGGCCGAGGCCGGGGCCGGTGATCCTGCTGCTGCAGTCGTCCCTCCATCCATCCGTTGACCTGTGCATGCTTGGATTCTTCTTCTTCTTTGTCATCCTCTCTGTCCCTCTCTCCCCTATCCCTCTGTTCTCTTCTTCGCCGCACCCTTCTTGTTCATATCATATCTGATTCTTCCACTGATTCTTCCCTCTCATGACTCCGGTTTCCCATACCGGCTTTCACGGCTCACTGCTGATGTCGATGTCGATTGTATTAGCATACTATGGTGTTGGGCGTGTCCTTTTGTTTTCTCTTCTGATGTGCTTCTGCCGGAATCGGTGAATCATTCCATCCCATCCATACCGAAATAATATGATGATAGATGAGGCTGTCTTTATTGGCCAGACTGCTGCGTAAATCAAGTTCACATCTAGACGATATCCAAACTTAAAAGCAAACACCCCGTACACATGATCAATAATATACGTTGCTCAAATGTCTGTCGAGGCAACCCATCTACGCGTCTTGGTTCTAGATTCATAAAATTGACTGATTAACTGACCGACTACCTCCAGTCCAGCAAAAGACACTCGCTAGCCAAAAAAAACTTACCCAAAAAACAGGTTATAAAAGAACAAACTTTAGCCCCAAGTTTCCAAAATGTCTAGAAGAGACTCTCAGTCCACTCGCTCCTTCCTCTGCACCACATCCAGAATATTATACACCACCTTCAGCACAACATCTCTTACCACACCAACAACTTCCTCCACTTGCCCAATCCACCCCTTCGCCCACGCATCCCAGCTCTGCTCCTCTCGCGTGTCCAACAGAAGCTTTCCAGGCGGGAGCCTTGGGTGTTTCCACGCCGCGACGCCCGCGACAACGCCCTCATAGCCGGGCAAGGGGACACTGAGTTCATACTGCCATACCAGCTGCGTATCAATGTACATCGAGTACGTGAGCACGGAGCTGGGCACGGTGACTGGGTGTCCGGACTTAGGGGTATCGATGACCGCATCCCGCACGTCGATGTCGATCAGCCCGTACTTCGTGTTCCCCTCGGGGATGTATTTGATGGTGACGTCCTCGTTGTCCGTCTGCCGGTAGGTGCGTACGGGGAGGTAGAACATGTTCAGCGGGCCGACACAGAACTCGTGCAGCCCTTCCCCGGCGGTGTTCGGGGTGAGCTCGTTGGGCGGGAGGTCCAGGGTTGGGTCGGGGAAGCGCGTGGCGCCGAACTCGTGGCGGTCGCCGCTGAGGAGAACGATTCGGATCCCCAGCTCGCGCTCGGCGCGCCAAATGGCCTCGAAGACGACGCGACGCTCGTTCAGGAACCCGCCCCAGGTGTCGGTGGTGCCGACGCGCCAGTTCTTGGTGAAGGGCACGCTGGAGGCTATGAGCTTCCACCGCACCTCACTGGGTTCTGGGCGGGCGATATAGGCGAGGAGGGATTGGAGCTGGGCGGAGCCCAGGATGGTTGAGTTGTATTGCGACGGGGCTGAGCGGTAGGTGCGGGTATCGAGCATGAAGATGGAGGCTGGCCCGTGGATGAAGGAGAAGTAAGTCGTGTTCTCGGGTGTCGCAAAGGGCACGGGCGGAATGGGCGGGTTGGGCCGGACATGGTAGTGGATGTAGGGCTCGAATGCCGCCGGGTATGGTGCAGTGATATTACCTTTCGACCAGTCGTTTTCGATCTCGTGATCGTCAAGAGTGTGAATCCATGGCAGGTCGATGGCGGGAGTACTGTCCTCGGGGCGAGACCAGGAAGGAGATGAGTATACGCGATGATACTCGCTACGATAGTGTGAGACCGACGAGCCGAAGCGCTGGGGAACATCAACGTAAATAAAGTCGCCGAGGAATAGCATAAATGCGGGTCGCAGCAATGACGGCAAGCGGTTGATTGTGTCAGTCATCATCTCAATACCGGGGATGCGCAGCGGATGCGACAGCGGGTTGTAGGGGAAGTTCGCCTTCATGCAGCTTGAGGTTAGGAAACTGAGTCGATTTGCCTGTTTGGAGCCAGGCATGGGAGCAGTGACGAATGAGCCTGTAAGGTTGTTGGATAGGGAGTATCGGTAGGGCGACGATGGCTTCAGGCCCTTGATTGTCACTGTGGTCGTGTAGTCCGTCGACTCATCCAGCGCATAGATCATTCCCTCTTCTGTCCATTGCGTCGCATCCTGCGTATCCGCTGGCTGGTAGAAGACCACTAGGGGCAGTTGTGCAGAGTCTGGTTCGCGAACCAGCAAATTGGCGGTTGTTGGTGAGACATAGCCGATTCGAGAGAAGGTGACATCTGCGCTAGGGTAGATCACCAGACCACGCAGCATGAAATCCAAAGTGAGCAATGCAAGCGCGACATTAATTAGGACGGTCAAGCGCGTCGAGCGTGGTAAGCTGGCGGACGGCAGGCCAGTGAACAACGTCTTGAGCACATTATCGGTGGTACGTGGAGTTGCGCGCTCTGTTACAAGGGGTTAGACGGGTTCTGGTAACTCGTAACCAGTATTGTCACTCACTTGCTGTCTTCTGAGGCCCTTTAGCATTGTTGTCGCGGCGGCCCGTGATGCTCGACTCAGCCGGTCGAAGGAGCGATACGACTGATGTAAGATAGACAGCTAAAGCTGTGAAGATGAGAGGCGGAAAGTGATGTCCGGGAATCTGACGGGCCACACAACGAATGAGCTGAGGTCAATTTCGAATCGAGGTAGATGTATGTCAACGAACCCAGCGGAGGAAAAAGAAGGCCGCGGCCCGGAGCGTTGCGGAGCTCGAGGCAGCGGCGATGCGCGCGACAGACACCATGGTGCTGGGAGCTTTCGAATGATAGTAATCTCAGCAGATGGTGACCATGTCCAAGCCAGTCAAGGCTCCCAGCATATAGTCAATGCGGATCGACTACTGTTCCAGTCGTATACGAGGGCGACGAGAAAACAAACAGGAAGGGGGAGAAGAAGAAGAAGAAGAAGAAGAAGCGACGGCGGCGGCGGAGAAGTCGGCGATGACGACATGCCTTTTGTTGACCCGTGCGTGCATCGCATCCAAGTCTCTTTCCCCGCCAAACCCCCATTAAGTCTACAGAGTTCACTTATATTCAGAAGAAATGTATATACATCAATCACATACTACTATTGCTGCTGCATCATATCGCGAAGCACAGTCATCAGGCTGCTGGTCATCGGCCCTGACATGAGCTGGCGCGCAGCATCCACGAGGTCCTTCAAGTGCATACTCAGCGACATCTCCGCGGCCCAGTACCATGGATGCCCTTGTTCCCCGGGCTTCGAGTTGAAGTATTCCCAGCCCATTACGCCGCCGAAATCAGGAAACCGATCAATCAGCATGGCCAGAATGGGCCCCATTTTCTCCAGGGGCACGTAGCCCTGCGATCCGTTGCCTGGGTTGGTCAGCAGTCCAAGCACCACCCGGCGTGGGGACCAGCCCTGTGCTACGATGGCGGCGTACATCCGGGGATCATCTGCGGGTCCCCAGCCATTGTAGAACTGTGTGTTATACCAACTGATCTTTGCGGCTCTCTTTTGTTCTAGCTCTCGGTAGTCGAACCCAGACAGGTTTCCCACGCCCAGCATGGCGGCCGCAACGGGGGCCAGCGTCACAATGAATCCGTCTCCCAGGTCCAGCTTGAGCCGGTCGATGAGTCGAATGATCCCCGACAGCGACATGTCCTCTTCCACATCTAGATCCAGTCCGTCGAGTCCATGTCGCCGGATCATGGCTAGCATGGGTTGGTAGTACCGTTCGAACTTCTCTGCATCTCCATCTAACGAGCGAAAAGAGCCTTGGGCAGCTCCTCCGAGCATGCCCATGATGCGAACCCCGCTTTGTTTCATGAGGGCCACTTCGGCCCAGAGGGGGTCGTACATGCTGTGTTGTGGGGGGTCATTGTTGAGCGTAATGTGTTCGGGGTCGGCGTTCAGGTGAAATGCCGCGAGGATAATATGCGTCACACCGGTGTTGTTCTGTACCAGAGGCATCATGGAGACATATTGGCCTCCGTTGGGACAGAGAGTCTGGTGATACAAGATGATCCGGCGTCGCTCGGACGAGGAGGGTACAGGAGGCATTGTGAGAAATGGGAGAGAGAGAACGAGACGCGGAATAATTTGTATATCGAGTGAGGGTAAAAGTAGGAGGAAGATGCAGCGAAGGGCGCCCACGGTCAGTCGCTCGGTCGGAGAGAAGCGAGCAGTGCGGAATCCGACCAGCGACGGTCTGACAATACTAATGGATGGCCCACCCAACAGGCTTCAACTCTATCTAGCTTGCCCGGCCGATGCAGGGCGCCAGGCTCGGATTATTTATACCATGAATCAATCCAGAAGTTCGCCGGCCTGAGGTCTATTGAAAAGGGATCTCAGACTCGCGACTCGCGACTTGCGCAGAGGGCTGACACGTGACGCTGTGCTTTCCAGATCATATATCACTTTTGACATAACTATCTCTGTCATGAGAACAATTTTAGCGCAAATGTGACCTAGGGGCAGGAGTTCCTGATTCGCAACCCACATTGCAGAATCATCCGTGATTCAGCTGTGAGATGGTCAGCTGTCTGTCGCCTGTATGTACAGTACATACAGTAGGGGACCGGTGACAGCTTTGTGGCCTGAATCGGCAGGCAATCAAGCCCTGGTGCCTGGCGATCGGTGTTTACCCGACCAGTTGGTGTTTTGTTATCGCATCCCCCAGCGATAACTCCAATGTCAACTTCTTTCTTCCATCACGAATCCCCCAATCCTAGCTTCAATTCGGTATTTCACCGTCCATCTACTAAAATCCATTCAAACTATGCTACCCAGCTCGGTAATCTAAAAGGTATATTATATGTTACCTTGATCCCTTTGGAAACAGACCACTCCCAGCATGGCCGATACGACCACCCATGACACCGTGGGCGCGTCCACCCTCGCGACCCCTCTCTTCATGCCCTCGTCTCCTCCCTCCCGTCGTCACAATGCGCAGAGTTACTCCCCCCTCAGCGCGAAGAGCCCTCGTACCATTGATCGCGGTGCGACCATGACCCACGGCGAAGAAGCCCGTTCCCCGCTGAAACAGAGTTACTCGCCGCGGTCCTCCCGGGCCTCGTCGCTCGAGCGCGCCGCGAACGATATCGACGCCCGCCTGGCGCAATACACCGTCGACTTCAGCCAATTCCCCAGTACACAAGCCCTGGATGAGGATGCAGACCCTTTGGCGGAGTTCAAGTTCCCGCATGAAGAGAACTTGTCAGACGTCGGAGGGCCGGATGATTTCACTGCGAACTTGGAGAAGTATCTGATGGGGGATGGAGACACCATGGAGGACAAGCACTTCATGGACTTTCGGGGCGATGCACATTCTTTGCCGGAGCTGGAACCCCTGTTTGATGATGATGACCTGGAGGAGCAGGGACACGACCTACACCATTCGGAAGAGGAAGACCACGATTCCCAGCCTCCGCTACCCGAGTCTCCTGCCCAACCGCGAGGCCACAGCAGGCACAATAGCCAACAGATGCAGCAGCAGCAGCAGCAACAGCAGCAACAGCGTCAACAGAACTCTCAGTCGCATCAACCTGCTGTCGAAGATGAGCCCGAGCCCGAACCCGAACCCGAGCTCGGTGAATACAGTGAATTCGGCCCGCCGATCGACATGTCTACACCTTCGCAATTTTTGCGTCGTGCCAGTGGTTTCAATAGGGATATCACTCATTTAGAGAACATCGAGGAAGATCCAGACGACGAAATGGAAGCAACTACGACCACACCGTCAGTGCGGAGACACAAGACCCCTTCTCCCCGCAAGGGAGACCAAGGCGCGACCGGAGATCTGCGCAAACAAATTTTTGATCTTCAAAATGCACTTCAAGAGCGTGATGAGCAGCTGGAGAAGGGCCGCCGGCGCGTTCTGGAGGCTGCGTCTGCTGGCCAACAGATCAAACACCTTCAGGCTGAATTACAGAGGAAGTCATCCCTGTTAGACGAGCTCTACGCCAATCGCACCGACGAAACTATCTTGCGTGAGAAAATTCACTTGCTCCAGAAACACAACGAAGAGAGGGAGACCTTCTTGCACAAATCCACCATCAATGCCTCCGAGCTAAATGCTCTTCAGAAGCAGATTAGCGATATGCAGAAGGAGCTGCAGACTCGCGGATCGTCGCACCCGGACCTCGACGCGGAGCGACTCGATACCATCGCATACCTGCGCCAGCAATTGAATCTGGCGCAGGAACAGCTGCAGAAGCGCGATGCAACCCTGGACGAGACAATCGCAAAGCTCAAGGACGTCACCACCGCCAAAGAGCAACAGCTTCGGGAAAAAAACACCGAGATTGATGAACTAAAGGCTCAAATCAGCAAGCACCTGCTGGAGGTGGAGAAGTTAGAGAATGAGCTCGATACCGTCAATCAAGCCTACACTACACTTGAAGAGCGTATCATCATTCTCGAAACGAAAAATCGCCCCCTAGAAGAGAAGAACAGCTCTCTCGAGGCCGATCTCACCCGTGCGCAGTCCCAGGTCACCGCGCAAGAGAACGCACTCAAAGCCATGGCCGCCGACCTTCCCCTTGAAACCGGCGGTAACACCTATTCAGAAATCTTGGAATTGATCAAAGACCTTGGTCAACCCAGCCAGGGAACCCATAACTCCAACACTCGTCCGTCAGCAAAGGACCAGGAACGTCCGGTACAAGACCAAGACCAGAATCAAAACCAGCCGGCGCACGAAGAACTCAAACGTCTGCAAGACGAACTCTCCAAAGTGCAGTCCGAACTCACCCAGGCCAACTCCGCCAAGAAGACCCTCGAACTGCAACTCTCGCGCTCTGAAGATCAAGCCGTCGAAGCCCAAACCCTCATCCACTCCATCGAAACCGAAAGCACTCGCCTCAGCAAACGCGCCGACGACCTGCGCTCGAATCTCACCAAAACCCAGCAGGAGCTTACTCAGGTGAAAGAGGAGCGCACCAAGGCTCTGGAAACCATTGAGCGCCTGCACAAGGAACAACAGCAACAACAAGACGGGAAGAAACAAACTCGACAGCAGCAGCTACAAAACCAACAACCCAGCCCCCCTCCTTCCCCTCCCGTCCCGCACCAGCAGCAACCGCACCAGCACCAGCACCAGCAACTACAAACGCAAGTACAAGCACAACGTCAGAAGGAGAGAGAGATTCTCGAACAAACTCAATCTCTCCAGTCCGAACTCCGCACCCTCCGAGCCGCCCACGCCACGGAGGTCTCGAAACTCCGCGACCTCCTTTCCGGGACTGAGCACCGGGAATCCCGGTACAAGACGCAGGTAACCTCGCTGCTCTCGCAGCGCGAGCGGCACCAGAGCGAGAACCGCGCCCTCCGCGCCAGGGTCGAGCACCTCGAGTCCGTGGTCGCGGCCAAGGAGGAGACCGCGGCCGCGGTGGACGAGCGCATCGCGCGGTCCGTGGAGAAGCGCGAGAAAGAGTGGCAACGGCGCGTCGAGCTCTTGCTCAAGGAGCGGGAGCGCATGGGCCGAGCGCTGATGTGGTCGTGGGGGGAGAAGGAAGTCGGTGGTGCTGGTGGTGATAGTGGGAAGGAGAATCTGGCGGTGGTAGGGCAGGACGAGAAGGGGAGGCGGAAGCAGGGCTATCGGTATAAGTATGCCGCGTCGAACCCGGCCCAGGTGCCGACCTCGACTTCCGCGTCGTCGTTTTCGAGGAATGTAGCGGGGAAGAGAGCCTGAGAGGTAGGTTGCTTGGATCTTGTTGTACAGGGTGGTCTGCTTGTTCTTTTTTTTTTTTTTCTTTTCCTACGGTGCTCATCGGACTCCTCTTCGGTCGGGTGGAAGCGCATGGGCTCCTTCACGTGGTGTTTCTGGTTTGTGTTTCTGCTGCTGTTTTCCTCATCTCTCCTTTTTCTTTGATCTTTCTCTCTTTCTTCGGATTTATTGTGATTCCCTGTTTTCGGTATGCTCGGGCGGTCTTACGGTGTCATGATTGGGGGACATACGGTCAGGATGGAACTAAGGACTGGCGGGTATTCTACATGTACAGTAAGGGCTGGCGTCTTCGCAACGAACTTGGGGAGCAGCCAGCTATAGCACATGGATTTGACAATGCAGTTATTGCCATGTGCGCAATGCAACACGGAGATTAATTGACTATGAAACTCTTTTGTTTACATTCCAGATCATCAGAATCACAAAGTAACGACAAGTATGATTAAGGGTCGTGAGGTGAAAAGGGGCGAAGACATGAAACGATTGGAAAGCCTGCCTGAGCACAAAATGTATATCGAGAATCGAAATTTGAGAGATCGTAGGTCTTGGGGAGAGTGAAAAGCCTGACCTGCAGGCGCTAGTTTCCAAAGACACTATTCGTTCGAGGTGGGCCCTGGTATGCATTCGCCTCAGAGAGGTAGCTCTCCGGCGATTCGTCAACAGATGTGCCTGTCTCACGAATGCTGTCTAGCCTGCTCGGCGCCGAGGCGAGGCCACCATACGTATTGCTGCGTGGGCGGCGTGGGTTGGAGTAGCCCAGCTCGGCGTCGTTTCCGCGGGTTGCCGATGACATGCGGCGATTGTGCTCTTGATACCAGCGACGGCCGTAGGGATTCTGGTGGGGTTGGTGTTGACTTTGGGTATGCCGCGGGATCTGAGAGGAATCAAACTGATATAGCTGACTCTCTCGTCTATTGCCCCGCCTAGAGTTCTGCCGGCTGGCCATCTCACGGTCGATCGGGACTCCCCTATAGCTAGATGCCTGATTAAATGCCGGGCGCGTCGCCGATCTTGGGAGAATTGGAGTGAAGGGCGCCTGGTATGGTGTATATGTGCTCCTAGGGACAGGAGCCGTTTGCGAGGTATTGGAGCGGCGTACGTTCAGTGGTTCCGGTACGAGGACTTCGGGAGCATCAGCTGAGTTCATGGTCGCAGATCGTGGCAGAGCTCTTGCTCCTGGCTGATATGCTTCGGTTTTGAGGTTCTCGGCTGTGATGGCTGGCAAGGGTTTCTCCACAGGAGCTGAAGCCAACGGATGCCCAGGGGCGTACTCTTTTTTCGGAGTCGGAGGGCGCTCAACCATCCGTGCTTCTTTCTCGACATCTACTTCCGTGTTGGAGTCGGCTAGAGCGCGTATTTGAGGATCCGCGGACAATGGTTGCGAAAACAGTTTGGGCAGCAGCCGGCGCAGCGACGATACGGAAGACTTTTGCCTCGTATGTCCAGACTTGGAAAGTGGTGCCCCAGGTAGCTCAACGGGAGCACTTTGCTTATGATGGTCACCGTAAGAATGTAAAGTTGCCATTGTGGGCGTGCGTGAAGCGCGAGAAAGAAGATCTGAGCTCGTCATCACCCCGGGCAGCTTTCTCGTAAAAGTTTCCTGCGGGGAAAGAGTGGTACCTGACAGCAAGTCCACTGTATCCGAGTCATACTCGGCCTCAAACCCTGGGTGAGATTTTTGGTGGACGATGGTTGGATATTCGATGCTTGTGGACATTTGGATGGTATTATCACTTGAAGACATATAAAGCCCCCTGCCATACGTGATATCCGGACGACGGCAGACGTAGTAGATGTCATGCTTCAAGCTATTATCACTTTCAGTGCTCCAGCTGCTCAGGATGCTGTCGTCGCAAACTGAGATTGAAGGCTGGCGTTTATACACTCCCAGCAACGAAACGTCGTACGGGCGTCCGCAGAGCCGTCTGAAGCCGAAATACAAGCACAAACTAATGCTGTAGCTTGGTCAGTATAACAGATCATTTGGGGCTTTTGAGAGCACAACATACAATGATACAATAGAACCTATAACAGACGTCCGGTAAAGAGCACAGCTTACACCCATTTTCCAGAAGCTGCCTTCACCTTCGTTGGGTAGGCATGGCAAGTGTTGCGATATGGCCACGAGACCTGTGGCGCTGGCAGCTATCCAGATTAGAGTCGCCAGCCCTAATACCCAGCTACAAATAAATCGGAGCATGGTCTTTTGGCTGGTAAAACTTGCAACCCTATTGTATTGCCAGGCAAGGAAGCTGTGTAAAATGACAAGGGGCACAGTGAAGAAGGACTAGTTTCATAGTGTTAGCGATGGCCAGGAGAAAGGTACTTTCAAACTCACCGCTACAAGAGCGAGTATCAGACTGGGTGTCATTTTCGCGTCCACATGTTGCTCAACATAGAGATAAATTACAATGCCCCATTGGATGAAAGACTCCAGTAGCAAGACGTATAAGGAGACGAAGATCGCTCGTTCGATCCACGCTCTCTCTGTGCCGGATGATGCATAACGGGTTGACATTGTTGACTTTGTGAGGAGAGCAGCAGCAGGCTGCGATGCACAGCTTTAACGCGTTGAGGTAACCTTAAGCATTCACGCGCAGATAGGTACCGGATGTCGATGCAACAAGATCAGCTCGAGCAACACAACACATCAGACGGCTCCCTAAGAGAACAGAGCGACTGGTGTCGACAAATGTGAATAAGTACGAACGCCAGAGGGAAGCCAGCTTAAGATAGGATCGCGGTCGACTAAATGAGGACGAAGGTGGTAAACATCCGGCGCGTCGACGCGGAGCTAAGAGGGGTCGGAATGGATGTGCAGAGGTATGACCATGTGCGACCATATGGAGGGGGAGCCTCTGGGTTGCAGAAGAGCTGTCTATGGCTTCTCTTTGGTTAGAAAGACAATGGTCTTATAGTGTGGAATGCAGGCTAAGTAGAGTCCGGCAGAGTAGGGGTAGGGGTGTCTGGTTCTGAAGAGACCTGTCTCGATTAGTCATTACATTTTTTGAAGCTTCAACTTCGCAAGTCATCATGGCCCTAGGTTGATGGTGGTCATCGTCGTCCCTTCGTATGTGCAGAATTGCATCTCCTGTCTGGTCGAACCCCTGCGAAGGATTCCGGTACCGTCATCACAGGTAGTGACTGCTCCCAGACATCCATAAGGGAAAGGGGCCTTGAGACAAAGCTGACAACTTGAATGAAGGATGAAGAGCAGAATCCAGGGTCATTCGACTGAATGGTCTAGGGATGGGCGCGAGAGGAAGGTGATAGAGGCAGCAGAGGAAGAAAGGGCAAGCCACGTGACATGTAGGAAGGGGCGGTTTCAAAGGCTGCTTAGGCACTCAGGCACTGAGGCCCTTCATCTTTTCCTTATCTTGATATCTCAGTCAAGGGAGGTTTCGGAGAAGACAAGGGCAACCTATCGTCATGCCAGGCTTTTGAAGACCGATTGCTTGATGTTGGGTCGGCGAGGAATGATGCAGTCGGACCCTTTGAACCTCAAGCCTCTGCGTTTAACGTCAGGCCTATGCCTTACGCATCTATCAAGTCATGTCATTGATATAAAAACTTCGAAAGGCGACTTACAGCCTGTAGAGGACTTCAGTAGAAGGTTCTATGGTTTGCCTCGATATAGCTGATTTTTTTTCCACTGCATCGGAGCAGCATTTCCACCTTCCGGCCGCATAGCTTCAAATTCAAGAGGCATACATATCCTGGCCTTCCGGGAGAACGATTGATCGCATTGATCCATGAATCACCAATTCAACCCGAATTGTCCAATTGAGTTGGAGACACTTGAAAAGGTTGAGGTCAGAATGAGGGGAATTGCGATAAGATAGCGAGGAGCACGTACATCTTGGCTGTACCCCTCAAGAGGCTTGCCTGATATAGCGATAGCCTGCATGTCCTAGTAGAAAAGTGTAAATGAAATAATGAATAGATAAGTGTGTAAACTTATCGGTTTGTGCGGCTTACGGCTTGAGTGAGTGAGGAGAAGTAAGTTAGCTGCAGAAGCACAAGAAACCGGCTTGGGTTGTTTTCCCTTCCCCGCTTTGAGTTGGCAATTTCTCTCTCTGACTCCCTTGCATGAAATATCTTGAGGGGGGGATTGACTGTTCATAAGGTTGTCCTTCCCCTCCCACGCTTTTGACTATCTTTGGGGTACTTTCTCCTTCATCTTCTAAGTATCAATCGTCACATACTCACTCACCATGTCCATCAGTCATATTCCGGCCGACCAACCACCTTACCCCCTCCATCCCTCCGTGGTAGACAAGCTCGACCCGGAATACGTCGACTTCTACAATACACATTTGATTGGCAAGCAACAAGTTCACCTCCAGCCAGTTGAAGCTTCTCGCACGAGCGGCGTTCTAATTCCTGGTGGAGGACCTCTACTCCCTGTCGGCAAAACAGTCAACTTCCGCATCGGCCGCCGGGTTTCGGAGGGCCCTGAAATCCCTCTGCGCGCCTTCATTCCTGAAGGCCCTAAACCAGCGAACGGATGGCCACTGATGTTGTATTTCCACGGAGGCGGGTGGGTATTGGGCAACATCGATACTGAGAACCCGGTGTGCACCAACCTTTGTAATAGAGGCCGCTGCGTGGTTGTGACTGTGGACTATCGGTAAGTTATTCAACAGTTCACCGATACATCGAGAGGCATACATCACTGACCCTCCAGTCTCGCTCCCGAGCATCGCTGGCCCGCTGCCGTTCATGACTGTTGGGAAGCCCTTCTCTGGCTGCTTGCCGACGGTCCAACACATCTTCCCATCGACACTAAATCCCTCGCGACGGGTGGCTCTTCAGCCGGTGGGAACCTGGCCTGTATCATCACTCAGAAGGCCCTTGCTCTCTCGCCGCCCGTGCATTTCAAGGCCCAGTTGCTGTCCGTGCCTGTGACTGACAACACTGCCTCGGTATCAACCAACGATGCCTATCGCGAGTATGAACACACGCCGGCTCTACCGGCAGCCAAGATACTCTGGTACCGCGGGCATTATCTACCGAATCGGAAAGACTGGGTGAATCCCGAGGCCAGCCCTCTGTTTTACACTGGAGATTGGTCGGCCCTACCAAGGGCGTTGATTATGGTGGGTGAATTGGATGTCCTCCGGACGGAGGGGGAGCAGTATGCTCATAAGCTGCAGAAGGCGGGTGTGCAGGTGGACTTGCAGATAATGAAAGGCATGCCTCATCCGTTTTTGGCAATGGATGCTGTTCTGAAGGAGGCAAAGAGGTCTATCACACTGATGTGCGATCTGCTGAAGGAGGTTTTCTGGAATCAAAGCCAGTAAGCATTCGCTGGGGTTGTGGTAAAAAAATATTTATAGCCACAAAGACAACGTGACTTAAAGGCCATATTGGCATCGAGCACTAATGCTCGAGTGTTCATATGGAACATCGCATATATCGCCTGAGTGAGTCGATGCACTGCTCTGGCGGCTAAATTCATTTGGCAATTAGTTTGAAGACCACCCATGATTGTTTAGGATCATAATACTGAATCCCCACTTGCTTGAAGAATCAATGTCACTCCTTGAATGCCTTATTAAGCACCTGGTCGATTTCATGTTTGACGCAATAGTCTTCCAATGTTTTGTCTTCTTCATGTAAGCGACGGGATGATTCCACATGCACTACGCTGGCTTCTGCGTGCATTGCTTATCATCGTGCTAACGTGGAAACAGGGACCAGGAACCAGGTTCGGTCTATGGCTGAAGCTTATCATCACCTTATGTTGGCTTTGTCCTACCTTCAAAGGCACCTCGCCAATGAACGAGCGAGACAGATCTCGGAGCCATGATCCTTAATTTCGGAGATCATTGAGATCACCCCAAATGATGTTACATCCATCGTCGGATTTGTGTTTGCCGACTAGTATGGAAAAAGAATGCTGGAGGTTCCCGCTCGATGCTTCTACATCTATGATCATGACCTGAGGACAACACTGACACCACCAGCAGAGCCAATGCTAATGTCCTGTGTCTCAATCACGTAGCCATGCATTAGTGGCCAGCATTCAGTAAGCTGCTGACTATGTCTCCGCTCGTCCTAAAGGCTGAAGATGGGCCACGTTCCATGGCCGTATTTGCAGCTTTTCATAGGCGACACAGCACCAGCCCGAATACCCCTTGCAGACGGATGTGAGCCTCCTTTGAAGTCATACATCGGGACGCTTGTATCTCATACCTCTATTATCAAGCTCTCGTCTGATATCCCTGTCCTCGTTCATTTTCCGTGCGATCCGCAGGACCTGTAACGCACCGCTACCCCTGGCACAGACTCTGCTTCGGTTCGTCCAAATGACTGCCCCCGGCATACCGGCCACTGGAACTTCTAGCTATCGGTCTTTCTCTGTTTTCGAGTTGTACGAATGGAGCGCAGCTAAGCGCAAATCTAGGCCCCCCAATCACCCATCTTGATAGAGGAAATGGCAGCGGAACTTGCTCCCCGGCAGCCACAGTGGCTTCGGTTGAGGCACCCGAATCCAGTTTCTGTCCAGGTAGACCAATGCTCTTCTAGCACAGCGTGTAATTTCCGGTCTCTGATTGCTGTGGCGCTAGCTGTAATGTTGTAGTGCTGCGATTCCAGGGGAGAATGAGAGCTTTACCCGTGGAGACACCTGACACGCAGCGTCCCGCTAGGGGCGTAAGCAGGAATTCTTCTTCATCTTGAGAAAATCAAGAGACACTTCAGTTTGTGCGGCGGATATGACAGATACACAAGATTGAACATAAGTACCTCAGCACTGATAGTACGTACTCACAGCGACTGCTCGGTATGAATAGCAGTCGGGAGTAGCGGTCTTGTTGTTCACTATCAGTCCACTGCTGCTGGGAGTAATGCTGCAGGGAACTGGCAAAGACTTCTTTCAGAGGTACAACTTATTTGGACTCTGACCCGGCCGCAGTATGATGCGAGGTGTGTCCGTGCAGAAGCAATCTCCCCATCGATGCGGCCACCTCAATGCAAGCTTGAGGCGACTGAATATCACGGCGCGGTGTCGGGTATTTCTGAGGGCAGTCTAGCGCTGGGTCTTTGGTTGCACTAGTAAATGCACTATTCACCGTTCGATCCAGTAGGGCTGGAGGAGGAGGACCCTCTTAATCAATCGGGCATGAGGTCTGTGTGAATTGTAATTATTGTTTGTAGGTCTGTGACCTGTGGTCGTTCGGTGTCCACCCTGAATCTAGGACTAGCGCCGCTGACTCTGGATAAGCTAATATAGCCGAAGTATGACTAGTAAAGTTTGACCAAAACGGATTTCTGCTCGTATCTGGGTGAAAGGGGTAGTAAGCGAGTGCTTGGTCCTGCTCCTGCTGTGAGTCGCTTCTATTGTGTCGATGCCATGTGTCCCCCCGAAAGTGTCTGAAATTATAGTCTAGTGGTCTTTCCTGCATATTGTCAGTTGGGTTTCTCTGACAGCGAATATCAACGGCCTCGAGGCTGCCGATCTGATGATCCGGTGATCTCCGGACAGTGTCCGGCTCAGGGGAAGATCGTTCCATGGCTCACGTCAGGGCCGAGCTTTAGGCAAAACTCAACAAATTCCAATTGAACCGGCACTGAAGAAGGTGACGGTCCGGGTTTTCTCGTGTATATTTCTCTAAGTCTAAGCCTCAAAAGGTACCCGACAGTGGTGGACGGGACGGGACAGTGGACACCAGACCGGATACGGCGGAGGGTCCGCGAGGTTTGCGCTGATCTTGAAAATGGAGCCATTCTGCTGTCCATTCATTGATTTCCATTGCCACTTTGGTACTAATTAACTGAACCACTGGAGGCTGACTAGCTGCTTAGCATATCAGTATCTACTTACTCGTGTTATCTAACCTCTGCCATTGGTGTGCCTGAGTCAGAGATGTCCGACCTCCGTTCTCCCACTAGTCCTACTCCAGTAACTGCCATATGGACGCTAGTCTTCTTTGGATTGTATTGTCATCGTTGCGGGTTTTGCACTAGAATTCAAGACTTCTTCCAATGACCGGCACACACACTAAGCTTGCCACTATCCACAGGGTCCAATCTCCATCTCTCCCTTCACCCCCCTCTCTCTCTGTGTGGCACTCTACCAGTACCATCTCGCTTCCCAAGCGATTCTGTTCGCCGGGAAATACACTCATCCGCTCACAGAGGGGCCACCGCGCCGCCACTCCTTTCAAAATAGTCGGGGAGCTATGGTTGACCAAGATGGGTCGATTCAACTACAACTTCGAGGCACTCTGGTCACTGGTGGCGCTGGATACCCCTTTGCTTCCAAAGCCATTTGCCCCTCTCTGGGTCTCCATCAGAAAACTGAAATGATGGAATCTCTCCGCTTGAGGCTTGCAAAATGTAGGTCGGCGTTGCTTGGCCCTCATCATCCACTTTTTGCACAGACTAATGTGGAAAGAAAAGTTAGACTCCTATGCGGCTCTACAAGCAGGTACTGCGAATAAGCAGCCTGTTGCCTGCTGCTGCCTTGACCCTAATGTGTAGGTCAGGCACTACAACTCCTTTCCCCGACGGGGCTTCGCCTGGGTCAAGGCCTAGAAGTCAAGCGTCGCCGTTAGTCTCAGAAATAAGGGACTAACTAGCATTGTCAACAAGCACCGAAGTCCGAACTGGGAACCCTCAGGTTCGTAGTCCAGGCATGTGGTTGCACCCGCCAAGGCATTGACTCCGCATAGTAATTTCGGCTGTGTTCGTGCGATGAACCCTTTCCAGGTAGTGTGGCCAATGATGAACCAGACAAGACATGGAAGCTGTCCCAGGAGGTTCAGGACCCAGAGCAGACTCGCTCTTATAACTCTACGTCGTCTGGCTCCCTTCCCTCCTTGAGATGTTCTTCGTGTCATCCCTCTCTATCATCTTTTGCGGGGACCGTCCAAGCAGCGGACTTTTGTCTGCGTCCTTTCTTTGAACCAATCCGACGTTCACTTTCACTGGTCTGAGTGGCTCTCTTGCCTCCACCAGTCGACATTCTTTCACCATGGTGTCTCAACTTGTCACCGTCCTCGCTGCTGTGTCAGCTGTCACTCCTTTTGTCTCTGCCTTTGACCCTCAGTCAAAGTCGAATGTTGCTGTTTACTACGTATGTTCCCCTGCACTGTTGGTCTTTGTCTAGAGTTCTTACAGTTGGGAACAGGGCCAAGGTTACGGTCAGAAACGTTTGAGTCATTTCTGCCAAGAGTCGTCTTTAGACATTATCAACCTTGGATTTATCAATGTGTTTCCGGATCAGGGCATCGCTGGTTGGCCAGGAAGTAATTTCGGCAATCAGTGCGATGGCACCACCTACCAGGTTGACAACCTCTCAACAGAGTTGCTTAAGGGCTGCCACCAGCTGGTCGAAGACATTCCCATCTGCCAGGCTGCGGGTAAAAAAGTGTTCCTGTCTTTGGGTGGCGCCTCGCCCGACACCCAGCAGATCCTGTCCGAGGACTCTGCAAGCGGGTTTGCCGACTTTCTTTGGGGTGCTTTTGGTCCCAAGACCGACGATTGGGTATCGAAAAATGGCCCTCGGCCCTTTGGTGATGTCGTCGTGGATGGTTTCGACTTTGACATTGAACACAATGGCGATTACGGTATGTCTCGTCCTACTCAACAGTAAAGCTTGCGCCTAACGTTTAAAGGCTACGCAACAATGATCAACCGCCTGAGATACCACTATTCATCACAGCAGGGTCGTACTTTCTATATCTCGGGTGCGCCTCAATGTTCGATTCCTGACCAACACCTTGACTCTGCTATCGCCAATGCCGCCTTCGACTTCCTTTGGGTGCAATTCTACAATACCGAGGGTTGTTCCGCCCGTGACTATATCGAAGGCACGGTAGATGGTTTCAACTTTGACAAATGGGTGGATGTTATCAAGGCCGGAGGAAACCCGGACGCAAAGCTCTACGTTGGATTGCCTGCCGGCCCGGGTGCTGCCAATCCTGGATACTACTTGTCTCCCAACGAGGCTTACTCGCTGGCAGCCGAGTATATGGCGCGCTTTCCTGACACTTTCGGTGGTATCATGCTTTGGGAGGCGACGGCTTCCGATGAGAACAAGATTGGCGACGAATCCTTCGCGGATGTGATGAAGCAGATCCTCGTGACACTTGACCCTACTCCTCCTCAGACAAGCACAGCTTTGCCTTCCAGCAGCACGCCCGCGCCAGCAACCTCATACACTTCCACGAGTACACCCGTGGTGTCCACTTCCTCGGCCGTGTCTATCCCTCCCGTGGTGTCTATCTCATCTGCTGTGTCTAGCCCTCCTGCGGTGTCTAGCTCTTCTGCGGTGTCTAGCGCTTCTGCCGTGTCGAGCTCGGGAACTACTGGCTTGTCAAGCATATCTGCCGTGGTTTCGAGCTCATCTGTGGTATCCAGCAACTCTGTACTAGCCAGCACTCCTGTTCTGACGAGCAGCTCTGTTGTTGCTAGCACAGCTTTGAGCACGCCTGTGGTCGTAGGCAGTTCTGCGGTCTCTAGCTTTTCAGCTGCCTCTAGTTTGCCTGTGGTATCAGGTTCCACCGTCGTTTCCAGCTCGTTTGTAGTGTCCAGCGCTTCCGTGGTCTCCAGTTCTCCCGTGGTTTCCGGTTCATCTATTATTTCGATCACGCCCATCATTACAACCAACCGTGTTGTCTCTAGCTCGGCTTCGGCTTCGAGCTCTCTTGTGGTGACAAGCCGCCCTGTCATCCCCAGCTCGTCTGACGTGTCTGGCTCTGCCTCCAGCTCGCCTGTGGTTTCTGGCTCTAGCGTGTCTTCCAGCTCGCCTGTGGTCTCTAGCCCCGTCGTTGCCACTTCCTCTGTGACCGCCAGCCCTCATGGGACTTCCATATCCCCTGTGGTTAGTGTCTCTACGCAGTCCGGGTCTTCTGGTGTCTCTATCTCCTCTGTGGTCACTAGCAGACCCGTCATTCCAAAGCCATCCTCTTCCATTCTTGCTGTTCCAGGCGATTCTAGAACACCGAGCTCTTCCGTCATCCCTGGTACATCCGGCCAGGCCCCGTCCAGTGTGTCTCAACTGTCCAGTCCATCGATCGTCTCGAGCTCTGTGGGTCCTTCGGGTCCATCTATCACTTCAGTGGGATCTGCGCCCTCGAGCTCGGCTGGGGCCTCAAATAATGTGGCTTTCTCTTCTGGCGCAGAGACTTCTTCTGGCCAATCTCTTTCCTCGAGTTCCGTCGTCAGCACCCTCACATCGACAGTTGCGGGCGTATCTTCTGAAACCGCCTCCTCTACGAGCCCTTCAGTCGGATCTAGCACGGCTGTCTCGACAGTATCAGCAGCACAGTCTGGAGGTTCCGCTCAGTCGGCCTCAGGGACGATTACCGTCTCCGCTTCTAACACTCACGTAGCGTCTACCGCTTCGCGCACTGACGCTACATCAAAAGCAGAGCTCTCCTCCGGTTCAAGTCCCATCAGTACTTCTGTTTCTGGTAGCGGTGCGGCCCCGTCTGCAAACCCAGAGACCTCCCATGAACCTGGTGTCACGGGATCAACGACGGCCTTGACAATCCTGAGTCCGACTGACCAGAGAAGCACGACCTCCTTGTCAGCCACAACCCATACTATTGGCGATGTATCAGGCCAGACGGGCAAGCCGACAGCAGTAACCAGCGATGCTACTTCGACTGGCAGCGGTGCGTCCGCTATCATCACCCCGGGGATCACGTCTGGCCTTGGGGGGATCTCGGTATCCCCAACCGCGTCTGTTTCGGAACCTGTGACCACGACCACGATCATCGTGACCTCGTACATTGATATTTGTCCCGAGGGCTTCACGACCATCACTACCACGTACACGACCACATACTGTCCGGCAACGGCTGCTGCCATCACCACTGCTCCCGCTACAGTCACTGGTGCTCCAGGTAACCCGGCTTCTGCCACGACTGTCGATATTCCCGAGGGTTGGACTACGACGGTAACGGTTTGCACACACTGTGCTGCGACGCCGACTACGGTTACTTTGACTCGACCGGCCACCAGCCTTCCGGCAGGGCCCGCGTCACCGACCACTGTCCCCGCTCCCCTGTCGGAGTGGACAACCACGGTCTCTGTCTGCACGGAGTGCGGACCGACACCGACCACGGTGACCGTCACGGTTCCTGTCAGCACTATCGTCGCGGTGACAGGCACTCAATTTGGCAATCCGTACGGCGTCGATGCTGTCCGTGAGGGATCAACGGGACTTGGTGTATCGCCAACCTCAGTCGAGGTGATCCCTCACCCCACATTCATTGCTCTTGTATCTGCGTCTTCTGGTCCAGCATCCGCCAGCCATTCTGCCAGCCATTCCGGGCCCGCGGGAGCTGACAGTGCTCGTCCTTTTTCGGGAACCGGGGGAGCTAATGGTGCCCGTCCTTCCTCGACGCTCCTGGTACAGCCGTCTGGTAGCGGCTTCCCAGGGTCCGTGGCACCTAGCCACACCCAGGGAGGCGTATCGCCAGTTTTCACTGGCGCAGCTCCTCGAATGACTGCCTTCAAACATGGGGCCGGGACTCTCGTCACCGTTGCCCTACTTCTGCTCACTATCTTGTAAAGCATTCTTCTCTTCAGCTTTGTCCTTCTTTCTTTTCTCACGTCCTGTGTGACCACATGCCTTCCGGCGACGTATACAGCTTTACTTTACCTATTACTGATTTGGGATGAATGACCAACGATATCCGATGTATCGATTTTAACTACTGTCTAATCAGCACGAAAACCTTCTAGCATGTGCTCTGTCATTATTAGTCTGCTTGGACAATAAATTTCAATGATCATGAATCCATAATTCGTATATTCAATCCAGCTATCACTACCCCCGCGACCAATCCAACTTGGTAGCCAGCCAAGGCGGATCAATCCGGTTACACAGCGTGGACCCGGCTGCTTGGGACCTACGATCGACTGATAGTCGGTAGTTTACGGTAGAAAATCGTGGCATACGAGCACATTCTATCTGGTCTCACTCTCGCGTGGTCTGTGATCCACGAGCGGCCCGTATGGTCTGACCATTTGGGGGGGGGGGGGGGGAATTCTAGTGAGTAAATGAACAGAAACAATCACAAAGGAGGCTCGTTCCCAATTTAGATTTCCGACTCTGTTCTGCCATGCCCGGTGGTGCGCTGCTTACTTGCATTAGCGCGCTGCCGAAGTACTTTGGGCCCCCCCCGGCATGCTCAAATGATAGGCGACGGGAGGCTTACTCGATGTGCTAGTGGTTCGACTTGTCGGGTTTTGGGGGGTGTATTGGAGGTACTGAGTAGGTATTGCAGGCAAAGGGTGGAACGTGTTGCGTACTTGTTGATACGTGGTTTTTGGTGAGATGGTTGGTGGTGTGGCTGTTCTTCTTGCATCTTCGACACATGAATGAGGTGTGGTGGTTGAGCAAGATATATTTGCTCTATATGTACTGTACTTTCGTGGCTTGGACCATGGTCGCTACCTCCCATTAGAGCTGTTGCAGATATCTTCAATCAACACAGGTATGCAAAATAGTCCTACATGGCTCAAGAAAGGAGAAAACAGGAATGAACAGAAAAGAAAAAAGATATCAAGCGATCGTGGGAACAAGGCGTAAACGGTGAGCAAGCCCTCGAGAGGAAGACGGTGGAACACAAAAAAGCCAAAAAGAAATAGTTAGCATGTCCTGGTTTCGATCCAGGGTCCTCCGGGTTATGAGCCCGGCGCTCTTCCCCTGAGCTAACATGCTTGATGGATGATATTGGCATTACTACTAGATAACATAAGGTAACACAAGCAAGCCACAGCACCTCATTTGCTCCCCCGCATGACTCCCGGACCTCGGCTGCGGAGAAGTGATGGTTGGATGATACTCGCCTCGTCTTATCGACACCTACTCACTATATCTACGATTCAGCATTCAGTCAGACATTGAACCCATCGGCTTAGCTCATATACTACTGATTCCCAAGCCAGTGACAGTCCCAAGAGTTGCCGCTGTCTTCATGGAGCCTTCTTCCCCATCTCCCCCATTGGCGGGAATCCGGGTGGTCGAGCTGGCGGGCCTGGCTCCTGGTTCGTACCATGTTCCAATCTCGGTCCCTCCAGCTGCAAGCTCCTTTCCATCCGCTGACCAAAGAAAACAGGTCCATTCGCTGGTCTGCTTTTAGCCGACTACGGCGCCTCTGTCTTGCGGATTGACCGACCCCAAACGTCGAGCGCAGATCAGTTGACCCGCCACAAGTCCTCCATCCCTCTAGATCTCCGTGATACCGCCTCACATCAGGTTCTCCTCTCCATCCTGGCGACGGCGGATGTCGTGATCGACCCTTACCGTCCGGGGGTTTTGGAGCGCCTTGGCCTCGACCCCTCGGGCGTCCTGCTGAAACACAACCCGCGATTGATCGTGGCACGGTTGACGGGGTTCCGGCGCGATGGGAAATACAAGGACATGGCGGGGCATGACATTAATTACATTGCCGTGTCCGGGGTGCTGTCCATGCTCGGCCGGTCCAACGAGCGACCCTATGCCCCGGGCAACCTGCTCGGGGACTTTGCCGGGGGCGGCGCCACCTGTGTCCAGGGTATTCTTCTGGCATTGCTGTCGCGGGAGCGGAGCGGCCGCGGTCAGATCGTCGAGGCCAACATGGTCGATGGCTCTGCGTACCTGGCCGCATTTCCTCGACTAAGCCGACAGACACCTATGTGGGATGCGCCGCGCGGACAGAACGTGCTGGACGGGGGGAGCCCGTTCTACGACACTTACGAGACCAAAGATGCGGGCCGGTATTTTGCGGTGGGGGCCCTCGAGCCGCAATTCTATCGGGCTCTCCTCAAGGGACTCGGGTTCAATCCACAGGAGCTGCCCGAGCGCGACAACAAGGATAATTGGCCGGCGCTCCGTGCTGCGTTTGCTAAGAGGTTCCAGGAAAAGACGCGGGCTGAGTGGGAGGCCGTATTCGACGGGACTGATGCCTGCGCCACGCCCGTGTTGGACCCGGATGAGCTGCAGGCGGGTGGTTACGAGCTACGCCCGGTGGTGCATCTGGCTGATACCCCGGGACTCCCCATCCCGACCGACGATGGAGGCTGGACGGGTGGTGGTCTGATACCCGGCACCGGGGGGCAGGAGACCTTGAAGACATGGTTGGGTTGGGAACAAGGCCGTGAGTATGATGTCAGGCCCGATGGGGCTCTTGTGCGACTTGGAGAGAATAAGGAGAAGTTATAGGACATTTTGCAAGGGGGTAAAAGTATTAATTATGTGTTCGGGTGGACGCCACAGTAAGTCGATGATGCGTTGATACTTGATGGAGGAGGGACAAGAAGGGGACTGTTTATTTTGGTTGAGGGGCCGGGAGGGAATGGAGGGACCTTTTGAGTTTTCATTCTTGCGGCCGGCGGGAGCAGACGAGGAAGAAGAGCGGAAGCAACAACCGCGCGTAGGGCTGACACCCTTCCAACTATCCATCGGCTTCACCGGCGAGAATTCCATTGTCGCGGCTTCGGTAACCATGGACTGGGAAAAAGTCTCTCTCCGTTGCGCGATTTGAGTCAGCCTATCAAACAGTGGAATTATCAACTAGCGATGACAATACTCGTACTCAGTAAGTGATGAAGATCGAGCGGGTATCTCCGACTCTAGCTGCATCCATGAATCATGAGTTGAGTTCGATTATCAACTTCTATAGTACATACAGTACATGTTACCAGCTGTCGCGTGGCTCCATTGCCGGTTGCGATTGGGAGCGACTCAGCAAGACTCGGTCGGTGGCCAGCTGAAATGTTACTTGGAAAAGTCTTGGATGTAACGCCAGTGGAGAATTTTCCCCCAATTGAACTTGGAACATGAAGTCACTTTCCGTTTCCATCTTTATCTCTCCCTCACTACTGTTTTTTTTTTCTCTCAGTTTCTTTTTTATCGACAAACAACGATCATCGAACCACATACTAAATTCAATGTGCTCAATAGTGAAAGAAAACCTGAGGACTCAATTTCTCTGTTTGTTATTATCTTTTTACCCTTTTTTCTTCTTAACTGTGATTGTTTAAGTTGATGCCGAGAAGAAATTATAGCTCCCTCAGATCGACATTAGCAATCCAACCCTATCGAAAGTAAAATGATGAGGCTACATCTCGCAATCAGATAAACATGGTTGACAAGTGTTGATCAGGGCGATCCAAGAAATCCGCCCAATTTCCCCGCCTGTGCGACTGCAACGGATTGTGGTCATCGTCACGTCACCAATTAGTTAGTGTGTTTAGACAGTTAGTTAGTCCTCGGTGACGCCGCGGAACTCGTCTCCGGCAAAAGTACCAGCCAGTTTGTGTACGGTACCTTTCTTTACGGGTATGAGCCGGTAAGACAGATCAACTGGACTGGGTGAAACAACAGGACGAGGTTGCCTAAAGAGAAGAGAAGAAGAGAAGAAGAGAAGTTCGGGTTTAAGGCCACGGTGGAGACTCGCAAAAATACCACCTTTGGGGAGGGTTTAAGCCTTCAGGAGATGACCTGACCATCCAATGCATTCATTCCTAAGACAGTGCTAATGTACAGTATGTCTATGCTTATAGGTATTTAATTGTATGTACGTGATGAATGTAACCATACCGAAAACTGAAAAAGTGTCCTGTCAGTTGCCTCCTACCGCTTCCACGCGGGGTTCCATCGGCGATACTGCAGCTTCATTGATCATGAGCATCTATGAATGAGTAGGCCTGACTATCTCCGTGAAACCCCCTCCTTCCCCAGTCAAACCATGGGGGTAGAAATCTTCATTCCCGGCCTTCCGAGTGTTTCAGCAGTGGAGTCAGGGACGTCATTCATTTGCCCCGAATCTGGGTCGGCCATCCGGTTCCTAGCGGGTGGGTGTCTGGGAGAGAGAAGAAGAAGGTTCGAACTTCAATCTAAGGTACATGTACACAATAAGGTAAAAACAGAGACGGTATCTTCCGCAACTACCAGGTCAGGTATTCCTGCCCGGTATGTATTGTGTATTGGGTACTATCATGATTAAATGCCCGCTTGCGTCTCCACGTGCGGGTTGTGGCGCAGTCATCGTCAGTTCCTGTATCGCGTTCCTTTCGTGGGACTATTCTTTCTTCATTCTCGTTTGTTCCTCATCTGAAACATTAGAATGGAGAAAGAGAGACAGAAGAGGATCCATCATTCTTTGGGGCAGCCTTGAAAGAGTTTCAATGAAGAATAGTCTTCTACCAGCACGAATGAAAGAAAGAGCAACTCCCTAAGATAGCCGTGGTTGATCTGTGGCTGTGTGCTAAAGCTGGCCTCTCGGTACTTATCATTACGAGGTTTTGGTATGGCCCAGTCGTATTCGGTACCGCCCAGCATGACAGTCAGGTCACACTGGGGCTTTTTCTCTGTTCTTCTTTCTCTCTCTCTGTTTTCTCTCTTTTCTTGCGTTTCTGTGTTTCTCATGTCCCGATCGATCATCGCCTCCCTCCCACATCCACTCTTCCTTTCTCCCCCCCCCCCCCAAGTCCATCCTTAAACTAGCCGGTTATTCACTCTCTTTTACTTTCGTTGTTCCCCGTCCAATCTTTTGGAGCCTTTCGTCTCTGGCTTTTCACTTTTTGACTCTTTCTCTCACGCTCCAGGTCTATATATCTCAGTCAACTTCTTCCTACCCCCCCCTTTTGCCCCTAGCTGATCCTCACCTACTTTGATCCATTGGGCCCCTCTCGCCCATTCGCGTGTGTAGCAATTGCTGGTGTCAGCGGTTATTCCCTTTGCTCCCACTATCATCCAAGACATCAATCAACTAGTGCTGCCGACGGTTTTATCAATGTCCCCTGCAGGTGTGACTTGGTAAAATTGGGTACCCGCCAGGCCTCGTGTGCACGAGTGGCGGAAGGAAAGCCAACTTGTCTGTCTCTGGCCTGTCTATCTGTTTGCTCCAGCGCCGCTTTTCACAACTCATCATCCTCGTTCATCCTGCGCACATACCCTCTCAACACTCTTCCCCTCCCTCTTGACTACTCCAGGCATTCGCTTTTCCGGAAGCGCCCTTGGGTTTTGGCAGAAACCCCCTCGGCGCTATTACCGATACAACACCCCATCGTATCGGGTCAGCCGCCTTGCCTCCCTCTTTTGCGCCCCCCTCCCGAATTCCGTTGCCTGTCCGGTATATCGACGGGACCGCCGGCTGCCGCCCATTGAACCTGCATCTGCAGACCGAAAATCGTTGGTTGCCTTCACCTTCGTTCGAATTTTCATCGCAAGTCTTGTTTCACTCCGACTCTGCCTTGCTGATCGGTGTGGGTGAATCGTTCCTCCCCACCACTCACCCGGCCAGTTGGTGTCTCAGCAACGACACCACCCCTTAGTTCCGACCTCGCGACTACCGTCTGATAAGGATTGCCAGATGGCTGGCGTGCAGCTTCAACAACCCAGCATGACTGATTACCGCTTGCCGATTCACCAACCGCCGCCGGCCCGGAAGCCGGTCGCGGGGATGCATTCTGGATATCCCTACCAGTCCTATGAAGGGGCCCACCACCAGCTTGCCCCTCATCCGTCTGCAGCTGTTCTCGCACACAACCGTCGACGAACATCCTCCTCTCATGTTATTCCCTATATGGGACAGCAACAGCAACATTCCGCTGGTCCTTCCCCGCATCATTCCATGACGGCGGCGGCTCCTTATCCCCCCTCGAGGCGCCTGTCTAGCGCAACCACCTCGACCAGCTCCACCGGCAACAACCCAAACATGCATTACAGTGGTAATGTCTCGGACATACGACGAAGCACCTCGTCTCGCTCGGCTAACGCTCAACTGGGATATGTCGCCCTGATGCGGAGGCAGAAGGCGACCGTTTGGTGTGACCGGGCCCAGCCAGAAGATCCGCGACTGCGGGCTCAGAAATTGGTGGATAAGAAGCGGGCATACCTGGAAGTCCATGGCGCAGGCGCCGGACGTACGGGTACCTTGGGAAGCGGCAAAAACAAACATGGCACGAAAGACTTCTCACCCTCGGCGCTTGTTGGGGCCACAGTCCCAGTTCGTCTTAGTGCCAATGAAGTAGGCGATGCCGACGAAGACGCTCAGAGCGAGCGTGGATTTCCGTACCGGCGTACAGGCAGCGGTCGCAGCTCGCTTGGGAGCAACTCGCGCTATCCTAGTGGATACCAGCGCAGTACTATGGGTAGCAGTGGCTCTCCATCAAATGAGCTGAGTGACTTGCCCGACGTTTCTGAGCACCCGCGAGCAGAAAACGCTGAAGCTGAGGCGGAGCGCACTTCTGTCAAGGATAGTGCCTCGATGAATAGCCTAGGCAGCGAACCGGAGGACAAATTCGGCACCTTAGCAGATATGGCTGCTCCCAGCGCGGCGCAAGCCGCCATTGAAAAGGCCAAAAAAGCGGATGAGTTGAGGCGCCGAGGCAGTGTGGACGATAGGACGACATCAATGACCAATGTCCGACTTTTTGTCGCGAATCCGGATCTGAGTGATTGAGGTGGATCTATACTGCGCTTTTGGCATTTTGGATATACCATGTCCCGTCTCTACCTACCTCCTGAGTCTCACCCTTTCACTCTCAGTCGGACATCTCTCTCTTCTTCGTTTTCCCTCATCCAGTTTCGCCTCGGATCCCACGATTGGCGTCTAGGCTTTTGTTGTTCAAAAGCCTTGACCCAAATGTTACGATGGCCCGATGACACTTCCAACTGTTTGATTTCACTTGTGTATTGCACTCTTGTTCTATTCCCCTGACCGCATGCTATTGGCGCTTCTTTTCTTTTCTTTTTCTTCTTCTCCTGTTTTAAGCCGTACGAATTGCGTATGGCGGATTGGTGGTGCGTTTACTGTGCACTGCGGTGCCTGATGGATTTATGAGTAATCATAGTAATAATAATACTCATGTACATATGGCAGCCATTGACTTTGTAGCGGAGTGTATGATATGCGTTGATAGAGTTTATAAAAAAATCGACTAACTTGACGAAGCGTCTTCCACATTTTTACCATTGAACCACGAGCAGACTTTTCTTCTAGTCCGGGGAAGAGTACTGTAAAATAGCACAATGCTCATCGCCAGGATGGGCACAGGCTAAGATTTAGGCATTTTAAGGTGTGAAACTGGGTGCTAGGGACTTACATAATCACTCACACGTGCCGAACGCGATCGGTCGCGCAACAATTAACGCGTTTCAGGCAATCTGGTCAGGATAGGTACTATCGCCAAGCTTCCCACTCCTCCGGCCCAACTGACGGACAGGAACGAGAGAGTGCAAGTAATGTAGGAGATCTGTCCTGCTTCTTCTTGCCCAAGACATTCTGTGTGCACGTTATCATTTCTTCTCCACCCACCTCCATCCTATACCACCCTCACGCCCATTTCGACCCCATGAGCCCTGGCCCTGGCCCTGCTGGAGTATCGCACGCACTACTGTAATCGACACCCCTAGAAGTGGTGAGTCAACCATTCAATCTATCGTGGGCGAGAATGTTAAAGAATGGAGAAGGACCGCAACTAACAGTTCCATGCTCTTTAGTGGTGTCGCCTGGTGATGATCACATTCCCTCTACATTAATCAAATCCTGCACTCCGACCGCACCACCCTCCATATTCATATTCCCACAGTCGCCCTCATTTGATGATATATATACATACCCAACGAAAACCGACATTCTTATAACCTTCATCGAAATAGCAGGCCCATACCATAATAGAACAACGAACAAAAGGCGATGTCGACCACCGCAATGGACGCTTCCAGTCCTGTGCCGCCGGGCCCAACGTCCACTCCCTCTCCTCTTTCCGCTCTTGCCTCAACACCTGCCTCCGGCAACACCGCCGCCACGAATACCAATAGCCTTGGCCATCTCTCACCGCTACCCGCAAACACATACCCTCCTATCATGTCGACGTCTCCCAGCGGCTCGCGCAAGCGCTCGATACAGGATTCTGAGATGGGTGGCATGGCCTCAGAAAACCATCCGACGGCAGACAGTGAACGGAACATGGATGTCGATATTGAGACAACTGGGGAGACTATAGGTGCTGGGGCCGGCGATCGTACCAGCGTCTCGATGCAACAATCTACGACCACAACTACAACTACATCTACCCCCGACGATGACAAGGAGAATCACGACGGCCTCTGGGCTCAGGCCCATAAGGTTGCTGGGTCAGACGCTGATGCCACTACCGCTATAGCCACCGGTGAGGGCGAGGGCAACTCGAGTCTCGTTCCCTCGACAACACCCTCGTCAGATACTGCTCGTACTGGCACTGCTGCTTCGGGTGCTGGTGCTGGATCTTTCGCGGTGCCAGCGTCCAAGAAGAGGAAGCTTTCCCCGTCGAGCAAGGAGGCCAAGCAACAGGAGAAGGAGGCCAAGGAGCGGCTGAAGCAACAAGAGAAGGCGCGGAGGGAAGAGGAGAAGGAAGTCAAGGAGCGGCAGAAGGTGGAAGAAAAGGCTAGGAAGGAGGAGGAGAAGCGCAAGCGCGAGGCTGAACGAGAAGAGGAAAAGCGCGCTAAGGAAGAGGAGCGGAAGAAGCGAGACGCGGAGAAGGAGGAAAAGCGAAAAGTGAAGGAGGAGGAAAAGGCCGCGAAGGAGGAAGAAAGGCGGAAGAAAGAAGAGGAGAAGTCGAAGAAGGAGAGAGTGAGATTTTTCTCTGCCACCCCCTGTAGTAGCATTCTACATCAAGGACTCCATCTCTAACCGCAATCACAGGGACAAACGAAGCTGAATTCTTTCTTCGTGAAACCCAAACCCGGCATCGCCTCATCGGCTCCTTCCTCGACCGTCACCACCACGACTACTACCACATCACTCTCACCTCAGAAAATGACCGGCGCTGGCGCTGCACCCGAATCTTCTTATGACCCGGCTCCCTCAGCCGTATCGGATTACCAGCGCGAGTTTCCTGACTTCTTCCTTCAGTCGCACACTAAAGTTGCGCCACCGCATCAGTTCCAACGTGACGCAGACGCCCTCCATCATACCCAAGAAAAGGTAGATGCCTACCTGAAATCTGCCGCCACCGAGGAGCCTCCTGTTTTTCGCCCTTCTGAGCTCTTCAATCTTATTCCGTACAGACGACGACGTGGGAGGCAGACAGCCTCGGTGAAGGAAATCCTACTTCAGATGCAAAACCTGGCCGATCAAGCCGAAACGTCGGAAGATGCCCACAAGAAACCACAGGAGCTGCTGCGGCAAGTAAGAATGAAATCGTTCAGGTTTGGGGAGGATGTGCGCCCACCCTACCAGGGCACGTTTACGAAGCGCCTTTCCGAGTCAACCGCTCATCGGTTGATGCGTAATCCTTTCCACCGAGGACTACCGGAGGTCAATTACGATTACGACTCGGAAGCTGAATGGGAGGAGCCCGAGGAAGGCGAAGAACTCGACTCGGAGGAGGAGGACGAGATGAGCGAGGACGGTGAGGATGACATGGACGGATTCCTGGATGACGAGGATGACCACCTTGTTGACGGCAAGCGACGCCTCATCGTGGGCGACCTTGAACCTGTCAGCACCGGCATCCGATGGCAGGGCCACGGCGTGGATTCCGAGCTGCAGATGTACAAATTGGAGACGATTTCCGACTCGGTGCCTTTCCCTATCGATCCGTTCTCCACCGTGTACTGGCAGAAACCCAAGCCTGCAGAGTCCGCGCCGAGCACTATGGGTCTGGGGCGGTCGACGCTGCATGCCTTCATGAGCCAGACGGTCTCCGGTTCCCACAAGGGTTCTGTTGGAGGGGGATCGACGGCGGACGGGAGCGCATTGGCGGTGGTGACAGCGGGACGAACGAAGCAGCGGACGTTTCCGGCCGAGAAGCTGGGCGAGTTCAAGCAGGTGGTGGATGGCAGTGATCTGACCAAGCTGGGATTGCTTGAAATCTTGAAGAAACGGTAAGACGTGGGCCCACATGGTGACTTGTCTTGTGGAATCGGAAGGCTAATCTACAGAGTCGCGACACAATAGGTTCCCTAAAGTCTCTAAGGACGTTTTGAAAGACACGCTGAACAGCGTGGCCACGCGAGTAGGACAGAAGGAGGCTGACAAGAAATGGGTTTGTAAATAGACGTAGACGGCGGACCCCGAAAGAAGGAAGCGGCGAGACAGGTGGACAACGCATCTAAGGATATCATCATCGGCACTCTCAACCCAGGGGACTGGGGTTCGATCAATTGCGCTAATCGATTGGCTATCGGCAAGAAGCTGTGCCCCTCTCTTACATATCAATATCGAGTTTTCTTCTTCTTTTTCTCGTGTCAATCTTTCTCATACCCCCCTTTCCTCCCAGTCTCTTATCTCGAACATGGCCGTGTCCGCCGCGAGGCTGCGGTGCTGGAGAGACACAGAGACAGAGAGATACGGCTGATGATAATGTTTGCACCCGACACATGGATTGATGCGCGAGCCTGCGAAACCAGGTGGGTTCTCGGTCTGCTGTCTCCTAGTGCCTCTGCTTCTCCTCTACATCTATTTGTTCAATATCTAGAGAGGTGGGAGAGATCAGTTGTGGTAGTTGGAGATCTCGATGTACGGGAAAGCACACACATGTACATACTAGTAAGTAATAAGTCCCCGAGGCGATGGACAACCGGTGGGGAAGGGAGAGGATATCCACTCTAAGCCCCAATTATTGTAGTCTGCCAGCGAAGCTAGCGGCATAACCTAAAACCGTCTGACAGCGGGCCTCCGAGTCCTATGTATGTATGTAGTCTAGAGTCTACAGACTGCACATTCAACCGTGGTCCAAGTTGTCATGCAAATGGAAGGTTTATTGAATTGATGCTTGAAACATACGACGCAGAGATCAGCTGTATGTCGGATCGAATGGAATGCAGGCGCTGGAGAGTATAAACAGTGGGCTGGTTGGTTGGTTGATCGATTGATGGGGCAAGGACGCTGGAACTCCACCACCAGCCACAATGAATACTCGTACTTGTACATACCGTAGTGGATGGATTGAATGACAAGTTGACAACACACCAGCAAGAACTGGGCAGTGGCGGATGAACACGTGCAGACAGTGGGGTGTCTCACTAGGCCTAAGCCAGTCAAGCGCCGTACCATCCCAGCTGAACCGATCCATCCCCATTCAAAGGTTCTCAACTCCAATTCTCCATTGACTCTCTCCACTGTCTCCAGGCTCTCGGTTTCTGGTTCTGTCCTTCCAAGTTCGTTCTGCTTGGTCTCTCAGAGCCTGTCTCTTTGGCTGTCTGTTTGACTTGCACCAGCCAACCACCTACCAAGACAGCTGATCAGCTTCAGCTCCTATACACCCCCGCCCAAACCTGCGATAATTGCCAACACAGTTAGGGGGGTTGACCAACAAATCAGAGCGGGAAAAATGGCGAGGAGGGGTTCTTTTTTTTTTTTTTTTTTTTTTTTAGGCGGATTTATCCCACCCCATGCATGCATGCATGCATTGCCAACACATCAAGAAATGGATCTCTCTTCTTGTTCCCGCTCGTCTCTCTCTTCCCCCTTCTCCTGCCTTGGCCCTTTCGACACGCCATGAATTCTTGGATACTTGACCTTCGTGAGTTCGTTCGCCCGGGCCAACATTCTGGTGGGCGGAAGAGAGGATCGGAATCTTGGTCTTGGACGGGGGAGGGGACAAGTATAGGATGAATGACTCGTTTCGGGTTTCTTTTTTGTATTGCAGTGGTTCCCTGGGGACCAGCGAGGGGTATGGATCAGACGGACAGATGCAAAACTGCATCTTTCCTTCAGGGAGGGTAAGATGACGCTGGCAGATGTAAGATAGGCGTAGTTAGTTACTTGACTGTCTGTGGTTTGGCTGATAAGCTGTCGTCGATAGGTAAGTAAGTAGTCTAGTTACTTACTTCCCAGGCTGTCTGGGAGTCTGGGATAGGTACCCGCGAAGTACCGCTTGCCCGCCTGGATCCCCGGCAAGGTACCGTGTCTGGACTCCCACCGGGCCTTTTTTTATTCTTATTTTTTTCTTTCTTTAGCTGACGATTTTCTGCATTCTTCTCATCGTCATCAACATCAGCATCATTATCAGGATCATGATTGTTCTCCTTTGTTCAAGTTCCCCCTCCTTTGCTGCAAGTCTCCGTTTCGAGTCACTGTTGCCGTCTCTGGCTATTCTCCGTGTGATGGACTCGGGTTACTGGTACTGTATACACCTGAAGAAGCACGTAACTAGCTACGGAATACCTAGCTATCAAATACTATTATTAAATCGGGAGTATGCGTGTTGTTGAATTACTAGTATCCGCGAGCCTGCTGTAGTAGTCTGGCGTAGTCTAGTTTGATCTAGTTTAGTTCAGTGAGTGAGAGTCTGTTGTGACTTCCCCACACACGAATCCCTTCCCTCTTTCTCTTTCTCTCTCTCTCTGTCTCTCGCTCTCTGTCTCTCGCTCTTCATCCTCTCACTGATCCGGGTTCATTCGATTTGCTGGCATCCGCTAGACTATACCCCACTAAACTTTGCTGTTGTTGTTCTGCCTCTACTTCTTCGAAGGTTTCTCTTCTTTTGCTGTCTCCTCCTCTTCCTCTTCTTCTTTTCCTCCTCCGTCTTCTGTTGGTCTTCGCGGCAGGTCATCTCACTATCCCGCCCATAGCCTTACCCCGGTCGGCCAGTTGTCCCTCTCCTTCCCCTCCCTTTATTGCACCGTCCCGGACCAAAGTCGGACTTTATTATCCTAACCATCACCGCCTCATCTCACTTCATCTCACCTCCCCCTCAATCAATCAATCAAGCAAACAGTACAAAATCTTTCACCCGGCGACTTCGCGCCAATTGTTTGACCAACCTAACTGGTTCTTTCTATTTCTCTCTCTTCTCTCCTTGGCCTCCGCTTCCACAGTCTCCATCATTTTTCGTGGATCGGCCATATAAGCATCTTCATTGGACTACCCTACCTTATCCTCTTAGCTTGCGATCTTCCCCGGGCCTCTGGGATTGATTAATTAGTCTTTGATTCCCTGATTTAGTCATTACCACGGCCCCCTCCAGGTTCCTATCGGCTATAATTCTTGACATACCCTTTTCCCACTTACACATCTTCGGGTTCTCGCCGCCTCTTTCCCTCCTACATCCATTCCGAGATTATCTGCCACTATAATTGACCACTCTACCGACCTCCATCGTTCGCCTTCCCTCTTCGCCTCTCTTCTCCTCCATTCGTCTCAACGCAACCTGGAGCGCGCCATCGTGTCCACCATTCAGCTGCTTCAGCCCCCAACCTCCTCTCATGAGGGCCACCGTCCACCGTCCACCACGCCTATAGGGGAGTCATGCGATAGGGCGGACTCTATCTACGCCAGGGGCACCTTGCGACCTCGATCAACCTCCTCGTGGCTGCGTGGCCGGAAATCCGCCGATGGCAACACCACCATGTTCGATGCCCAATCCGATGGTCGTCCATCCACTTCGGCTTATGTGACCTGTAAGTGCGCATTTTGCTTTTTCCTTCGCCCCTAGTTCTTCCAGACTTTCGAGATTTATCCCTTTTTTGCTATCATATCTTGAATCGCCTAGCTATCTGCAAGTGTTTCGTTCTCCAACTTAACAGACTGTCTGCATGGGTTACCGATCATCGGCTGACTGTTTCTCGCTTGTCGTTCGTGCTCCAGGCTTGATTCCTTCGTCCATTCAAGCGACCTCGCCATGTGAGGCTGCGCCTCAACCTTCAACCCCTGCTGCGATTGCTACTACGTCCCCAATGCGGGCTTCTTCTGACCTGATGACGGATTCTATTATAGGTGAGTCTGGCGACTTGGACCACCCAAGATCGCATCGCCTGGCCTCCGCCTATTGCGCCCCAGATGGACCTCAGGATACCCCTCGCCCTACCAGAGCCATGGAGCAGTCCGAGATTTCCTTTGAGGACCTGGCCGTCCAGTACCGTCAAAGCCAGCACAAACAGGCCGGTCGAAAACGACTAGAAGCCCGTCTGCATGCTACCAAGGTCTCCATGGGTGTTGCCGCACGCTTGATCCGCGTCGGAGCTGCCGTTCAACGAGCGTTGGTCGACCGGCTTCGTCACGACGACAAGACAAATTTCATTACTCTCTACCATACTCTCGTTGATCTCCAGGAATCATGTGACACGACTTTCCGTCGCCATTCCCAGCGGCAGGACCCGCTGGAAGAATGTTCGCCAATCCGGGAATCAGTCGTCAACCGTCCTCCGGACTTCGTCCAACAGTTGAGCCCTCAATCCAGGACTGATTTGCTTGACATTATCCATTTGGTTCGCACTGATCCCCAATTTTTGTTTGAAAGGCTGCGCTCCTTGACTCCTGCCCAACGGGCAGCCCTTGTCTCGTCCACTGGTGCCCCTTGGGAATCGGGCAGTGATCTCTCGTCCTCGGCGGCATCCCGATCCCGGGCCCATGGGATGAAGCGCAGCTCGGCCTCCACTGTTCCATGCAAGGACCGCACTTTGGCCCTCGAACGCAAAGATGCCCTGTCAATCTTGCTTTTTGATGTTTTTGCGTCCCCTCTGGATTCCAATGCCTCGGAAGCGAGACTGCGTTTGGATACCTGGTCTTCCGTCTGTGCAAAACTCATGACCCAGGATGGCAATAGACATAGTGCTCTCGTTCCCCACATCCTGACTGCCTGGGCCACAGGAAGTGACTGGAAAGCGAAGCCGGAGTTCGAACTCTATCTCATGGATATATTGCAAACAGGCGCATTCCTTCTGGAGCACGTAGAAACTCCCCCAGGGATGAACGTGGATGCGGAACTCCCTGATCCCCTGCGAACAGATGTGGCCGAGGAATTTTTCGCGTCCGCGGTAGATGCGCTGTTTCAGCTGTTGGATGACCCCGATGGAGGGTTACCCCAATCCGTGATGCAACTAAGCTGTGCTATCTTACAGAAACTAGAGCGTCAAGATGATCGGAACCGATTTCTGGAGTTGCTATTTGTTCAATGGTTCTTTGCGAAGTACTTATACGGCGCACTCACTTTCCCAGAGGTATGGTGATACCGAGCGAGTATAACCTGTGATCTCCTTAGCTAACCAGTATCTAGGCCCATGGTCTTCTGCTCGATTTCCACGTCCGTAATGATGCCCGCGAGAAACTTCTCGGGCAGGTGGGCCTTCGTGCTTATTCGCAGGTCTACGCCATATTACGTTCAATGTCAGCACTCCTTCTCTTCCCTCCCCATCAGTCAAATTTGAAGCCTTGGGAAGATTTTTAATGAGTTCTTGACTAGGCACCACTATTCGATGGTCCGTCCCAGTGTAAGAAGTCGAGTGGAAAGCATGCTGCGCCGATTCCGATCGGGATTTCCCGCTCATGCATCGGACGTGTTACCCTTGTCTTCCAGCCACTCGAGTGGCCAGGAATCACCTGCCCGGTTCCTAATGCTTTCTGCTGCCGATGTTCTCACGCTGTTGAACACCCTTTACCCTAGGATGTCTACGCCAGTTTGCAATTCTCCAATGTCGTCTTCTGGGGTCTCTACGTCGTCAAGTGCTCTGTCCATCTTTGCGGAACGACTGACAACTACCATGGCGGAGCCTGGTTTCTTCAAACCTGTCGCTGAACCCTCCTTCAGACATGCTGCCCAAGGTCAGAGCCTGTTTGGCTCGGCGATGAACTTTCTTTCGCCCGTCGAGCAGGTCATTAGTCGCAACGCGGACCGGATCCGGTTCGAGTTGTCCGACATGTGTGGACCTGATGGTCGCTCTAGTCTGGAACCTCCGGCTGCTGAAGAATGGGCGATATTCTCCATCTCCCAAGACGGCAAACTGACCTGGGGGTTGTTCACCGACAGCTGCCAACTTTCAACCTTAGAGAGCATGTTTGTGGAGGATGCTCAATCGGCCGCTTTGGGATCGGAACACAATCTCGAAGCTCTTCAGACGGCTATTGTCAAATTAATCCAGGAAAATCCCGCAGACGATGGTATCAGCTTTGGCTTACGACAGTTCAACGGTCTTTCAGTGGAACACAGTGCATCCCTCAAGCAACGATTCGACAAAGCAATGCAGCACTGCCACCACGATTCCGACTTCATAGGTGCCCATTATTGGTGGAATGCCGGCCGTCAGCTTCTTCGCAGTGTCGCAAATTCCCCTGCCCGGCTGGAAAACGATACATGGATCCTTGAGCCGATGTACACATCCTGTGACCGCTCTCTTCAGATTTCACGGGCAGTAATCGAACACTGCGAAACTGTTTTTGTGGCTATTCACCGCCAGACTCGGCGTCTGCAGGGGATGGTGAAAGCGATGATGACCACAGTGGCTAAGCTCCGTGACAAGATGTGGTACATGACGGATGTGAAGAACTCGATGAGATATGAAGATGCTAAGAACGTCGCACTGGCTCTGAAGACAATGATCTATTCCGCTCGTCTACATCGGCAGACACCCAATGATGGCCGCTCTCGTGGCAACACGAGAGCATTTGGAAGCTCGTTTCTTCAGAAACCGGAGCTGCAGGTCATGAGTATCATGAAAGCGCCGAGCAGTCAAGGTGGCCCGAACAAGCTCTCCGATGAGCAGGTGGATCTTATTCGCAAATGGCTATCCCATAACAACATTGACAACTTCTGCAAAGGTGAGGAGCGCATCCATCGTTTCTGCTATGAGGTCCAAGGCAGTATCAATCGGCTTGTGGGAGAGAGCATGGCAGAGACTCCCGTGCTGTGGGCCAGCGAGCTCTACCATAAGGAGCGAGTGAAGTACGAGGGTTCAGCCAATCGGAACTTTCTCAGTCTGTCTTCCAGTTTGCGCCCGTTCAATGTCCCTGGCGATGATCCCACACACCCTTTGCAGAGTTACGGCAATCAGTCTCGTCCAGTCGACTCCGTCTCACGTTACTCATCAGACGTGTCGTCCTTGAACCATAAGGCTTCCAATCAAAGTCTGCTATCCGATAAGTGGAAGAGCCCTCGAGATCCCTCAGTCACGGACTCATCCTCCATTGGCGGCTCGCCAGGGAGGGCGGCATCAACCGCTACGGGCGACTCATACAGCACCTTCTGGTCAACGCCACACCAATCAGCGCAGTATGCGCCTAGCTCCTCTAGCATCTATTCACGGCCTCCATCCATGTTCAGTGATAATTGTGCGCAACCCCCACGCCGGAACGACCGCAAGATGCATAACAAAGCAGCTTTCATGGAGGATCTCAAACAAACGCTTACAAGCTTGCTTCTCAGCGATCTGGGTTCTCCGGTGTGGAGTTGTGGGAGTGAGACCGATGCTTGGTTCGGTAACGCACTGAATCAGCAACGCATCCAGGTGCAAATGAAGAAACGCGCCCGCATTCAACGATTCTACACTGAGTGTGATGAGCGACTTGCCCGCAATGTGATGCACCGTGTGCCATCTGATCATACACGAAGTAGATCTCTTGAGTCCAGTGATCGTACACCATTGGGAAACTCCGAGACTTCAGTTTCGGAATCCACATCCGACCAATGCCCTGGTGTGGAAGAGGACCCACCGCTTTTCTCGTACAGCTCCATCTTCCATCGTCTAATCGAGGTTTTCTCTCGACATGGAAACCCCTTTGTCAAACTCAGGGCACTGCGAGATTTACGAGCATTGGTTGTCGCTTCATTGAACACCACGAACGAGGAGCTGGGTTCCATGCCTCCCGCCCAAGAGTACAGGTGCCAGCGAGGGCGCAGCTCCGGGGTACAAGGGAAGAGAAGCGCCCGGCATAGCTTCTCAGAGTCTCAGGCAACACGCGTGCATGAGAAAGACGCTCTGCAGACGCCAACTTCGGCTGTCGATGAGTCGGTCATCTTTGACTGCCGCCCTTCAGATTACAGCGCCCCCACGGAGCATCAAATCGTGGACGCGTTGCGAGGCTTGTTACTTGAGTTCAAACCCAAGACCCTTTTCCGAGATCTACAATTCATCTCAGCCTTCGTTCCAGGCGAGACGCTGAACCAAACCGATTGTGGAACCGCGTTTCTGCAGTTTGGCTTGGCAGCGCTGAGTCTCAAGGACGAGGTTTGTAACAGCATGGTTGAAATCGCTGATAGCATCGTATCTCAGGAGCTCAGTCGGCGCCATCCTGCAGGATACGAAACCCACCCACGTCCCGGACACGCCATTGAAGATGCTGCCGGCATGTGGATAATCACAGCCAAGGAAGGGAATCCTGTTGCTCAGCGGGAGCTGGCCATTCTCTACCTTACGCACCCCGAGCTTCTGCCACGGGTGACGCTCCCACTTACTCTACTGCGGGATACCTTTAAGGCGGAGATGATGTACCGCCGTGACAAGGACTCGAAATCCGACCCCCAGAGCATGTGTTTGGCCCTGCACTGGATGCAGCTGTCGGCCATTGGCGGGGATGAGCTTGCGCGAAACCGTCTTCGTGAACGCGAGGAGTTCGAGTCCATTGCCTAGATCGCTTTGTTTTCTGCCCCATTCTTTCTCTTCTTCTGCGCTTGTGCTTTAAACTTATACTTAGGTTCTTCTATTCTTCTCTTATCTCTCTCTCTTTCTCTGTTCTCTTCTTTATCTTCGAGATTCCGTCTCGTCTCTTCTTGGCTCACATTTCATGACTTTGATACCATTGATGACCTTTTATTCTTAGCCGAAGACTTCGGTCTACGCACCGCGACTAATTTCTTTGCACCTAAACGTGCAGCTCTCTTGATATCCTCTGCTCGCAGACTGGAATGGATGGGCTTAGATGCCTGCGGCCTGTGTGAATTTTTATTTTCTGTTTGGTTGTGTCTTTTTTTTTTGGTGAGCATGGCAGGGTCATGAGATTCCCCTATACACTTACCCAATGCTTATATATATATATATATATATATTTTTTTTTTTTT